TACAGAAAGATCTTCCATCAGCTGGTTCATTCCCCAGATGGCTGCAACAGCCGTAGCTGAGTCAATCTAAAGCCCGGAACCAGCATAAAGTTTCAGGAGCCAGGAGCTTCTTCTGGGGCTCCCATGTGAACACGGGGTCCCAAGGCTTTGGGCCACCCTCTACTGCTTTTCTAGGTCACCAGCAGGGAGCTTGAAGGGAAGTGGAGCAGCCAGAACACAAACTGGTGCCCATACAGGAGCCCTGTCGTGCAAGGTAAGGATTTAGACATGAGGCTATTGTGCTGGGCCCAAAGAGCTCTTTCTAGACAAACAGACCCTCCATTGTGGTAAATATGGTATAGCAATGTTTGGGGTTTCAACTGTATTGGAAAATTACTCTGCAGTGTTTACAGCTTCAGTAGTCACTTATCCCATGAAGCATTTGCTCCCTAATCTGCCTTCTACCCAATACCCAGGAACTGTTCAAGTGCCTTCAGTTTCTATAGCTTTACTTAGGGAAACCTTTCCCCAACTCCCATCATTCCCTACAAAATGTGACCCTGTCTCCTTCACCATAGATTAAGATTTCAGAGTATTGATGGTCTTCCACGTCCCTCCATAAACTTCCACCTACTTACATGCCTTGTGCTCTAAGTGAAATGATTTTGCTTCCTCATCTTTTGATACTACTGTCATGCATTTACCTACTTGCTTACATTCCCAGAGTTTTGGTGCTGGATAGTATACTTTTTAATCAATTCTTGCAGCATTGCCATTTATGGCTGGGAAATGGTCTTCAAGCATCAGCAACTGCAGCACATCAATAATACAAAGGCCTATAAAAGGTAACAATACACATTAGTGTGCTAGTAGGTTCCTTGAGTACCTATTTTTCAAATTCTCATAATTTTTTATTATGTAGAAAAGAAGAAAGTCACATATTGATGCTTCTCTCCATTATAATTCTCTCTAGTTCTGAGTTCTATTTAGTAGCTTTATTTCCCTAGTTAATTCATATTTTAAATATTTATCCATTTTTAACAATTTATTTATTTATTGGAAAGGTAGATCAGATTTACAGAGAGAAAGATCTGCCATCTGCTGGTTCACTCCCCAAATGGCCAGGGCTAAGCTGATCTGAAGCCAAAAGCTAGGAACTTCTTCCAGGATTTGGCCTACTCAGTTCTTGATGCCTGCACAGTGGACATAATGTTCAGATTCACACGGGGAACATGACAACCAGCTCATCCAACCCAGCAGGGAAAATCAACTGCCTTGACAGAACAGGTTTGGACAATTCGCCTGGCAAAGCTTCACATCATTTTCCTGGGTCTGTGGATGCATGAAGGTGGAATTGTCAACCAGTAAACCTTGGAAAGATTTTCTCAATCCTAAAGTAATGAAACCAAGTGGATAGATGAAGATAGAGAGATCTTGGAAACTTTGTAAACTATTTGTGGGAATGATAAAAAATGTAGCTGCTATGAAAGACAACATAGAGATTTCTAAAAAAAAAATGTATCTACATGTGAATCAGCAATCTCACTTTTATGTATTCATCCAAAAGAATTGAAATTAGCATCTTAATGAAATAGTGACACACCCATGTCCGTCACAGTGCCATCCATAATAGCCAAGAAAATAATTTTAATGTTAATCAACAGATGAATGGATAAAGATTACAGACACACAGTTAGAAGGGGACATACATCTCAAGGTGGGTCTTTGACATAGTGGTTAAGACATGGGTTGAAATGGCCACAATCCACACTAAGGTGCTTCGTTTGAGTTCTTGCTCTGCTTCTGATTCTAGCTTCCACTAATGTGTACCCTGGGAGGCAGAAGGTGCAGATGGCTCAAGTCCTTGGGTTCTTGCCACCCATGAAAGAGATCCAGACCAAGATCTTGTTTTCTGGTTTTGACCTAGGCAGCCCTAGCAATTCAGGCGTCATGAAAGAGAAACAGCAGATGAGAGCTCTGTCTGTCTCACTGCATAGATAGATAGATAGATAGATAGATAGATAGATAGATAGATAGATAGATAGATAGAATTAAAACGAAAAATAAAAGAAAATTTTATGCGATAGGTGACAATATGGTTGAACCTTGGAGACATTTTTGCTAAGTGGAATAATCCAGTCACAGAAAAACAAATAATGGGTGATATCAATTATATGAAATCTAGACTAATAAAATTCAGGAGCCGATGCCATGGTTCAACAGGCTAATCCTCCACCTTCAATCATCAGCATCTCATTTGGGCACTAATTTATGGACTGGCAAAGTAGTGGAGGATGACCCAACTCCTTGGGACCCTGCACCAATGTGGAAGACCCGGAAGAAGCTCCTGGCTCCTAGCTTTAGTGGGACTCAGCTCCAGCAGTTGTGGCACTTAAGGAGTGAACCAGTGGATGGAAGATCTTATCCTCTTCTCTCTATAAATCTGCCTTTCCAATAAAAATAAATTTTTTTCTTTAGAAAGAATGGAATGGTGGAGATGAGAATTGGGAGCTACTAATCAAATGGAATAAAGTTTCAGTAAAGCAGGAAGAATACGTTTTAGAGATATTTGTACAACTTAGAACCTACAATCACTAACAACATACATTTAAAATTTCTTTTAGGATATACATTAAGATGCATTTTTATCACAAGAAAATAACATTTTTTAACGAAACAAAATTATGAAATCAGTGAGTTTGGAGGAAGAATGTGTGCAGGTCAGAAATAGGAAGTGTACAGCGTTATTTTCATGACTAAAATATTCATGTTCTTTGGAGACAGAACTGATTCCCATTTTGTTGGGAGTCATTTGCATATGCATTTGTCTGGATAATGAGAACTACCAAGTGGAACACTTCAGTGTTGTTTCTGCCACCACTTGCTCCACATTCCTCTTACTCTTGTCTGTAGCTTCAAGTATCTGTTCAGGAAGGAAATAATCAAACATCTATTCAGAAAAGAAATATTTAGTTCCCTTCCAGAAAAATACACCTGGTAACCATTAAGAGGAACACCTGACTGTGGTTAGTGTTAACTGAGACTCGTTCACTTTCCTTAGATGATTGAAATCTTAATTCTCAGATTTTCCCCTCTCTTTCTTTCTGTAATTTCTACTTCATAGGTTTACAAAAGCACACTATTCAAAATTTACCCAAGAGTTAAGCCTTAGGGATATAACTCCGATCAGGAGGTTTTATAGAAAATTACTTACTTCCTCCCCTCTTGAAGTTTTGTACCTGAGTCAAATAATAGGACATTATTTAAAGGAGTGAATAAACAAATTCAAATGAAATAATCACTACTCATCATGGCTCTTTTCTAGCTTTGGTTCTAAGCCTGAGTGGAGTGAAAGCAGAGCACAAAAACGGATGAGAATGCCCAATGAACTATTTTGACTCTTCATCGAAGTTTTTGATTATGGCCCATGTGACCCATTAAAGTGATTATGAATGACTGGGGCGTGGGGAGGAAGGAACATGGCTGAAAAACAGACCATTAGGACACATTTATGGCTTCTGATGCCTTTTTGTGTGTAATCTTTTAAATTTTCCTAGCCAGCATGCCATCTGGTTCTTGTGCACATCCAGGAGTGGGTGGCTTAGCTCAGCCCAAGCTCAGCCCAATCTGGCCTCAAACCTGGCCCATACTTATGCCTTGCCTAGTCTGCCTACCTAAGTTTTTACACTTCTTACAGTATAATCACCTGCATAGTTACTGTGCTATATAATCTTTGATTACAAAACTTAAAACAGTAGCGAATTGGAATCAGCAAATACACTTGATGAAAATATCCTTGAGCCTAAATTATGGTACATAAGCTTAATCACAGTTGTTTTTACACTGAGCCTTAGGAATGGTTCTCAGTTTAGGGCCCAGGCAAGTGTTAACAATCATGTCATATTGGACCTTGAAATGAAACCTGTTTGACATTCTGGAAAAAAAAAAAAAACAACTTTCTTACCTTTTTCTTACCTAGCTCTTATAATAATCTTGAAGTACGCAAAGTTTTTATGGCTAACAAAGTAATTTTCTGGTTCCATCGAGATAGACAACTGTAGTTTCACCAAATGCAAATCTAAATGCAAATAAATAAAATATAGTTGAAATGATAACTGTTATTTCAAGCAAGCAGTGTTCTGGCACAAGGTAGGTGAGTATCAGCAACACCAGAACTCTTCCCTTCATTGTGACTATTGTCGGCGCCCCAGAACCTGGTGAGCTTCCACAGTGATCGATCTCATCTTTCAGTCCCAGCATCCCCCGCCTGCACGAAGCCACTTGCACTACTGTCCTACAGCCTGAGCTCTGGAAGTCCAAAGTCCCGATCTTGTTTATCTGGGCAAACCTCCCTCCCTCATGCCTTTCACATAGGAAAGGTCTGATTCATGTTTACTAAATTACAAAACCTTTTTTTCTTCAGCATGTCTCTTGTACTCAAGCAATTCCACTTGACGTCCGAAATATGAGCAGGAATCTCAGCTCTCATCTAAGAAAGACATCATCTAGTTATTTGTTACCATTTTTAGCCTGGGAAAACAACTTACAGCAATGAAAATTAGAACGAGGAGAAATTTTTGAATTTCCCTTTGATGCTATGGTAATTCACAAATAATATACTATTTTGACTGCTTATAAGCTGTATATTTTTCTTATGCCCATTCAAGAAGTGACAGTAGGTTAACCAATCCTATTTGCCACCTAGTGGTTGCTCAACCCAATAACAGAAGGCTGACCTTTGAAGAACAGGGTGACTTGGCTCGCACAGCCCAGGTGGTGCGGGACTGGCTATTGAAGGGAAAGCAGGTGTCTGGCTGTTCTGGCTGCTTCTCTTTCAGGATATAAGGCAAACAATCAGAGCAAAGATTTTGTAACCATGAACACACCCAAGAGAATTAACAATTTCAAAGTTGATTTTCATTGCTTCAGAGGTTGCTGTATTTTGTTGCTATGGAGTTAGCATGCTAAATGTTCCAAATTTTTACTTGTGTTCACCTAAACACCTTTTCTTTTTTCTGGTCCACCTGGTGGCCAGAAAACTTGGTTTAAATGGCCCCCTCAATGGAATCGCTGGCATGGATGACATTCCTGCTGATGTGGGCACTAACGTCCCCCCAGATGGTCCTGGGGGCAGCTTCATAGGAGTCGGTGGCCATTATCATAGCCCTTGATGTGCAGACCGTGGCCACCATGGGTCCAGAGCTCATGTAGCTGAGGAGGGTCGGGGAGAAGTGCTTCTCCTGCAGGTCCTGATAATGCTCAGCAATGACACTCTCAGGCACCTGAAGCATCTTCATCTCCATCACCTCCCCCACAAGCCACTGCTGGACACCATCTGGCTTCACCACGATCAGCGGACACTCTGAGGCCAGGAGGGCCATCCCAAGCCAAAGTGCACATTCTTGAGACTGTCATTCTTGTGAACTCAGCTTTAAATTTCTTGGTTAGTCTTCAGGTTTATTACTAATGTCAGTAAGATCATTGAAAAGCAAGTCTAGAAATGTAAATGACAGGCTTTAAACTTTGGAATTCAAAGTGAAGAAGCTAGTTTTTGATGAGCAAGTTGCAAAAGATTTAAAAGGGAGTCTCGGTTTTGAAAAAAGTTTCAAAACTGGTTAGAGACACTAAACATCTGGAAGCTATTCTGATCTTGTACACTTTCTGGGCACAGTAGATACAGTTGATAGCCTAACCATATTCACTTTAGTGAACCAGTACACTCATCCTACAGATGCTGTGAATATCAACTGCTCAAGTTTCCTAAACTGCCCTTTTCCAGGTTATTCAGCTCAGTCACGGAAGACATTTTGCCAGAAGATGCCTTAGAAGTCACACCTTCTCCCTGGGATTGGTCCATGAGTAATATGTGACTAATTCTGGGGGTACAACAGGCTCGCTCCCTTTCCTCAAAGTGGGACAACTTTGTGGGCTATAATCAAGCTAATGCTAGACCTCAGTAGAAACCACGTATTTGCTTAGTTTTGTCCTGCCCTATTGTATTTGCCTCACCTCTCATGAGTTTTTCTTAAGAGCCAGTCTCCCTACAAAGCGCATGGATGAGAATGTCTGTTTTGGGTTTTACTTTCAGTGAACTACCCTGAATTTAAGGGGACTGTGTGTGGACTGTCTCACTTCTGGACGTGGTTCTGAGGCTCTTGTTTGAATTGGGGCCTCTGAGGCCTCTATTGATTTAGAGCAGATTTGAAATCTCAAGGCAAGCTCCCAAACACTGAGGTGCTCTCAGGAATCTGGGATTAGAGATGGGCTTCCCTCACTTCTCAGCCTTCTGGCTAAGATCAGATGAAAAGGGCTCCCATAACCAGGGCTAAAAGAAGCTGTGAAGACATCAGCTGTCTTAGGCTTCCTCCAGTCTGCACTCAACTGAATACATGGACCAAACTTAACTATATGGGTCTCCAGGTAGAGTAGCTATGCATGGTAGTTAGGAGGATGGATTTTATAATCACCTCTTCACCCATCAGTTTTCTTCTCTACATTATAATTTCCATGAAAACAGACACTGGTCTAACATCCTAGAACTTGTTATAGTCCCTAAATGACACTTAAACCCTCAATAAACTGTTGCCGAATGAATGAATAATCAAGCTGGCCAAGGGAGTTGGTGTTGAGATGGCAGATCGTACATGGCCTTGACTGCTATGCTGAGGAGTTTGGGCTTCATATTGCATATAATGGGAAATTAGGGAGGGAACTTTAACCTTACCATTCCGATCTTAAGAATGCTGTTATCACTTCAGACATATTTGTGTTCTTTGTTCTCTCAAAAGGATAGCTAGATCTTGCTGTGCAAATTATTCAGGGAAAATTATAAGCAGATTTGGATGAAAGCCTATGTCAAACATTCACCCACAACAGCAAATTTTTAAAATAATCTATCAGTTTCTAAGATGTTCCTGAATTTCAGCGACATCACTTCCCAAGAGGATGTTCCTTGACTACTTATACAATTCCACCAGTCTGGGTGAAGGAAACGAACATATATTTTTCAAAAGAACAGGTTCAAATGACTAACAGACATATGAAAAAAAAGCTCAAGTTCCCTAGCTATCAGGGAAATGCAAATAAAAACCACCCTGAAGTTCCACTTATCTGCAGGGAGACTAGTCTATGGTCAGAACTCTACTAACAACACCTACTGGTGTGAATATGGGGAGAAAGGTACCCTCCTTCAGTGAGCATAGGCTAGTACAACCATTATGGAAGTCAGTATGGAGAGCACTAAGACAACTGAAAATTGATCTACTGTATGACCCAGCTATCCCACTTCTGGGAAGATATCCAAAGGAAATGAAAGCTGCATGAGAAAATGATCTGTAATCCTATATTTATAGCAGCTCAATCTGTAACAGCAAAGACATGAAAACAACCCAGGTGCACATTGAGAGAGGAACAGATAAAGAAACTGTGGTATATCCATTCCATGGAATACTACTCAGCCATTCAAAAGAATGAAATTCTACGATTTGCAACCAAATGGTCAAAACTAGAGAGCTTTATGCTCGGTGAAATAAGTCAATCCCAAAGGACAAATATAATATATCCTCTCTGATATAGGGTAATCTTCATGCAAATTACACGATCAGCAGGTATACAGGTATATACCTGTATATATATATATTCATCTAGAGGAACTGTATGATGGAGACTAACATACCAAGCATTGAAGATACATAATAATATGCATCTCTCACATAAAAGATGGACTCCCAATGAAACTATTAGACATACCTTGAGAATAGGATGTTGGACTTTCTACTATCATCTATGCCTATAATGTCAAGATATACTTAAATATCAGAATGATGGCCTTGTGACTGTTTTTGAAGGACTATACTATTGCAGTAATATAGGGGAAGTCAGCGAGGGAGAGAGGGAACGAGAAGGGTGGAAAGGGAAAACCCTGAGCCTATGCAACTCTATCATAAAATACAATTTTGAAAGCAGGTAGGATATTATTTATTATTTTTAAAAGATTTATTTTTAAAGATTTTCTTTATTCGAAAGACAGTATTCCAGAGAGAGGAGGAGAAACTGAGTGTGTGTGTGTGTGTGAGAGAGAGAGAGAGAGAGAGAGAGAAAGAGAGAGAGAGAGAGAGAGGGAGAGAGAACTTCCATCCACTGGGTCATTCCCCAAATGGCTGCAATAGCTTGGACTGGGCCAAGCTGATGCCAGGAGCAAGGAGCTTTATTCAAGTCTCCCACAAGAGTGCAGGAGCTAAAACGCTTGGGCCATTTTCCACTGCCTTCCCAGACCTATTAGCCAGGAATGGGAGCTAGACAAAACATGAATCAGCAAGGACTGAAACTGCTGCCCATACGGGATGCTGCCTGGCAAGCAGCACCTTAACCTGGTATATCTCAACACTAGTGCCTATTTATTTATTTGAAAGGCATGGTTACACAGAGAGGGTAAGTTACAAAGAGAGGGAATCCTCCACTTGCTGATTGACTCCCCCCTCAATGGCCACAATGGCCAGGGCTGGGCTAGGCTGAAGCCAGGAGGCTAGAACTCCATCCTGGTCTCCCATGTTGGTGACAGGGGCCACATACTTGGACCATCTCTCCAGTTTTCCTGGGCATATGATCAAGGAGCTGGATAGGAACTGGAACAGTGGGGACTCTAACCAGTGCTCATATTTGGCATCAGAAGCATCGGTTTAACTCTCTGTGCCACAACACCAGTTTCATGGTAAGCTGATATTTCAACTACAGTTTGAGTTCTAAACCAAATCAAGCAGGATACTGTACCGACAAAGCCAGGAAAACCACTCTATCAACAATGCATCAGAAGAGCTTATTTAGTAAAAAACCATTTATCAATCAGGTGGTTCAGTTGACAAACCTGACTCAATCTAGCTTAGAGCATTTTCAGACAAACAGTGACAGAAAATGTTCTGTCTGATGAGAACTGTGAGAACTTGTAAACTGTGCCTTCATTTTTGCCCAATCATCTCAGTAAGTAAAATCATCTGAATGGAGAGACAAACAACCGCCCCTCAATTTCAAGGATATGTTTAACACTGTGCTAGCTCTTCTCACACGGATTTCACAATTGGGGCCAGAAAAGGACAAGCTGTGTTTCTTGTTTACATTGTTGCTGAGGGGGGACAAACACAGTGACAAAGATTCGAAGCTTCCCCACCTTAGCACCCTAAAAAAAAAAAGGCAAGCCCAACAAGCCAACAAGCTTCTGATCAAATTTCAAGCTACTCTTACTATGTACCTTAAGTCACACACATTTACATTCTCAAATACCAAAACCTTTGGAGTTGCTGCTCCCAATATCTGACAGTCAGGAGGGAAAAGAGAAGCAGTGCAGGCGTGATGATCTCAATGGTCTTCCTGCACAGCACTGCTGACATTCTGGGATGTATGACTGAGGTGAGCTGCCTGTGAACTGTAGACTGCTTAGAAGCATGTCTGCTCAGTAGCCATTACAGGTCAGCAGAACCTTTTCTGAGTTATGACAACAAATGCCCCTGACATTGGTAAATGCTCCCTGCTGCAGGGAGCAAGGCAAAAATAATCGCCAGCTGAAAAAAATTATTGAATTGCTCTGTGGCTGGGTGAGCTTTTTTTTTTTTTTTAAAGAGAATGAGGAGAGTTCTTACCTGTGTTTTTATAAAATTCAGCAGGCTGTTGACTTGTGCTATTTTTTTAAGTGACCATTGGAAACTGTAATTCCCTTGGTTTCCTTCACAAGGAGCCATCATCACTTCAAGCACCATTTCTCTACCGATGACTTCCAAATGTGCTCTCCAATGGCAACCTCTCCCCCGTTGATGGACAGAACACCAGGGGTCTGTGGCTCATACTTTTTTTTTCCATCTGCATTTGCTGGAGAGGCAATATCATGGAACCAAATTAACTTGAACACCATTTCCACAAACCTGCATTTTATTCCCTAGATATCTCCTAAACTCCAGAATTGTATGCTTAACTGCCTTACTCAAAAATCCCCCACCTGCATATTTAATTAGCATCTTAACTATATCTAAATCTGAAATTCCAAAAAGCTATCCTCTTCCAACAGAGTAAAAGAATTGCTATCTCTAATGGTCTCTAATATGAAAGTTAGGAACTAAAGCAACCAGAGAAATAAACAAGAAACTTGGAAGAAATGGAGGCTATACAAAGAAGAGGTTCTCTCTGCCAAACAACCTCCTTCATTAACACACTCCAAAAGTAAGAAATTGTAGCCTTAAAGAATAGGATACAAAAAGTGAACATCTAGAGAACAAAGTGAGTTCTTAGATATTAATAACATGGCAACATAAACAGAAACATGTGGAAGAAATAACTAAGAATGTTTTCCAGAGCATACGCACACAGCTGTCAGACTGAAAGTATCTGCTCTGTGACACTGGTCCTGTTATGTTTGGGTATTAAGCCAAAAGCTCAGGCTTCAAAAACAAAAATAAAGGGGACAACATCAAACCAAAAAGCTTTTGCACAGCAAGTGATTGGGGAAAAAATATTTTTAAACCACATATCCAATAAGGATATAACAATCAGAATTCTTTTACGAAAAAAAAAAAACCTCATATGTCTCAGAACAAATCATCTGAATTTTAAAATGGGCAAAGGATCTCATTCATTGGTTTTGGACTGGTGGTATGAAGTATGTCAGGTTTAGTTAAACAGCAAATGCAAAAGTACATGGTGCCCCCTGATGGAAGTCACCTGAATTTCCTACTGAGGTAAAAACCATCTCTTGCTGTAATGAAAAGTGACTAATGCAATTTACAACAACATCCTTCCTCCAGCTTTAGCTGTTCTACTCAATTTTGTGCAAACTATACTGAATCAATGTCTTGATATTACTTTACACTGAATTAGCATTATCAAGCTTTGTCCCCCTCCCTCTTTCTGGGGTTTGCAAAGTTGTTCATTGCCAAGCAAACTCTTTCCTATCCACATACTCTCTAACTAATCTCTTCTCTTTTTCAAACCTAAATTGAGACATAACTTCTAGGAAAACATTGCCTAGTAATGAAAAAGCTAAAATTGAGAAATTACTATGGGCTAGGTACCATTCTAAATTCTTTCAAATACATTTTTATTATGACCAAAATGCATTATCCCACTTTGTAGATGAGGAAACTGAAGGCTTTCTAGAACGGTGTTATGTGGGTGGGCACTTGGCCCAGAGGTTTTGTGGGAAACCCACATCCATATGGGAATTCTTGGGTTCCAGTCTGGGCTCTGCTTCCCATCCTGCTTCCTGCTACAATGCATCTGGAAGGCAGCAGGTGGTGGCTCCAGTGCTGAGTCCCTACTGCCTACAGCCTACCTGGGCAACCCAGATGGAGTTCCAGCTTGCACCTGGCCCTGTGTGGCCTACTGAGGGCATTTGAGAATCATGGTGTGCAACCCCAGTCCAGGCCGAATGGAATTCCGAAGCACGTGTACTGGCTGCACCTTTGGCTGTTCATCCTCATGTATGTGGTGTTGTTTATCTTCGTGTATCTTTTGCCCTGATTTGCTGACACCATAATTGAAAAGTTGGTTTGTGAAGTGGACTCTGAAAATGATTACACACTTCTTGGATAAAGAAGATCAGATTATGCTATAGCCATATTTCACGTCTCTGAAGGACTTTTTCATTTTACACATGTATTCCATCATTTAGAAAATTACATTTAATGGGTAATAATTGCACTTATTCGTAGCTAAGTTCTTAAATTCTTTGATTGATGTTTACCAACTTTTCAATATCTGATGGCTTTACATGGACTGAATATAAAATTATTCCTACCAAAAGGTTTAGTGTGTTCTTCAGGTAAAATATAGCAATGCCTTTCCTGTTTTAAGGGTTAAGTAGGGCGTAATGTGATACAGATCACATAATGAATAATAAGGTGAGGTATATACAAGTTCAAAGTAAATTACAGAAGGGCAGAGATTTTGAGAGAAGGAATGAAGTGTATTTGTCTTGGCCCTAAATGCTTTTTAGATTAAGTTGGACTGTTATGAAATGTCATGGTTGGCAAGTTGAGTCTTTAAAAGGCAGTAGATAACAAATACTAGAAATCTAGCCTGCAGGCCCCTTTACCTGAATGCCTTCCTTTAATTCCTTTTATATCCTTTAGCTCCCTGAAATAGGTTTGTGGGTTTCAAATCTGTTTTTTTATTGCTGTTGCATTCAACTGTGTTTGTGACCAAAATATAGATTTGTTTTGGTGATGTTTGTAACTTCCTTAAATACTCCAGGAGATCAAAGTATCTCTTCAGTCACCAGTGACACGAACCTTCTCTCTGTAGACCAAGCATTATTTTATTTGTATTTACTTTTAACTTACCAGATTCAGTAACAGAAATCTCCCATCCATTTCCATCGCTCATGGGACTAGGCTGGGAGAAAACTCGAGTCCTCCAAGGGGTGACAGAATTCCTTGAACTGGGACTTTTTCCTCTGGAGACAGCTATGCTGGAACCAGGAAGCAGAGGTGGATATCAAATCCAGGCACCAGAGGGGAGACTGGCTCCCTAACTGCTAACATAAACACCTCTTTCGCTGAAGTTCATGTTACTTAGGAAGAATTGGCAGTACAGGAGTAGTCAGCTAATACGTAATCAGAAAGGTCCCACTCGGAAAGCAGTTACCGTAGGTACTTAAACTATTCCCAGTAGCCCTACAGAATTTATAAACTAATGTTAGCAGTTGGCTCTTGGCACGGACATTAGTGGCATTTAGTGTGTGTGAACTGTCTTAAAAGTATTTGGGGCTATTATTTCTTCCCCCTGTAAAATTCAGTTAGCTTTCAGGGTAATCTTGCATCTGAACAGGTGTGCAGTTGTAACATCTGAACATCCAGTTTATCACACAGACTGCGAACTGTTTTTGCACTGCTTGCCCACGGTTTTGCCTGATACATGTTTATTTACATGGCAAAAAGAATTATGCTGGCTGAGATTGCAGAGCAAGCAGCCGGTAAGGCAGTGACTGCACTTGCAGATTTCTGCACCAGTATCATGGTCCTGTGTTTACCCTGGAAACTAGAAGGCTGGTGTGAACAGATACGCTTTGGTGGCAGCGTTTAAAGAAACGCCCCTAGCATCCAGCTCGACTTTAAATGTCTACTGAACGCATGAAGCGAAGGCAGCACTGTTGGCTCGCCCCAACTGAAGCCACCGCGGCGCTGCACCAGCAGCAGGGATCCGCGGGGTCCCCGGCTCGGCTTGCTCCTCAAACCTCCTCATGTGGCGCCAGAGCTGCGTATGCTCCGAGGTTTAGTCGCGGCTGGGCCGTCCGAACCCCTCAAGAAGAGAATTCGTCTCAAAAGTAGTCAAGTCGGCAGACGAGTGCTGTGAGACGCACCCAGAGTCAACACGAGCCGGGCAGAGCGAAGCAGGTGGCGGTGCAGCGTCGGTGCCTCAGCTCGTCCTCTGACCCAGCCCTCCGGAAGGAGCTTCGCCTCAGAGAGGGAACGGCCTTGTGCGTAGCCACAGCTGCAAACCGCAGGCCGCCTCGGTACCCCAAGCTGGGGCGCGCGAGTTTGCCGGGCTGCTGCGGCGGGAAACCTCGTACCAGGCACCCCCGGACAACCGGCGCGCGCGGCCGGCTGAGGCGGGCACAGGCCGCGGGCACAGGCCGCTCGGCCCCGCGCAACGGCTCGGGCTGGGGGCGGAGCCGAGCAGTCCCCGCCCCCGCGGCGCGCGCGGCACTCGGCAACCGGCACAACACAACAAAATGGCACCCGCGCCGCCCGGCGCCTGAAAGGCAGGGCCCGTGCGTCTCCCGCCCGGCCTCGGTCCGCTTGGCTGTTCAGTTCGGCTCCTAGGCGGTGAGTGCGGGGCTGATGGAGGCCATCGTCCAGAGTCCAGACCGAGCTGCCGGGGCTGTGGGCAAAGGCGGAGAAGGCCCGAGCCAGGCGTGGGGTGGGACGGCTCCGGATGGATCCGGGGCGGGGGCGTGTTGCCTGGGAATTGGGATTGGACGCCTAGGATGGGAGGGCCCGGAACAGGCGTGGGAAGGTGGATAAGGTACGGAGATTTAGATGAGAAGTGGTGATGGAGGGATACTGGCAGAGGGAGGGTCTGAGCGTGGGAGGTGCGGCGCGGGAAGGGACTGGGGCTCCGCCAGATTGAGGAGCATAGGTGTGCCAGGATGTGTGGGAATGGCCGGATAAAGGATCCCAAGGTATTCTGACAGGTGTCCTGCTGTCAGACAGAATGCAGAACCTGGAAACACAGTGAAGAATGGGAAACTTAAAGAAGGGGCCAAACGATTTTCGAAACCTACCAGACTAGGGTTCAAGTCTCTCTTCTGCCATATTGTGTATTCCTTAGCCCTATGACTGTGGTCATGTTCCCCAACCTTGTTGAGTATCTTGTCCTGGTAGGTGTATACTGAGTGTCCAGATACAGTTTTGATGACTTGACTTGTACAGTAAATCATTTAGAATTTCCAATATCTGGTGTGAAGGTAACCGCGGTTTAAACAGTAGTGTCGCTGAGTACCGGAGAAGTTAAATAGATGGAAAATCGGGGTTTGAACTCAGACTGTTCAGTTCTGGTCTCTTAAGCTCTCATTTATGATTAAGAACTGCTGCTTGTGAATGTGGTCAGGCGAAAGTTTCAGCATGATTTAGGTTGTCTGGGTATTTGCTGGGATAGAGAGAAATGAACAGTTGGAGAAGACGGGATGGATATAGAAGTGTGAAGGCAGAGTGCTGGAAAGCACAGTAGAAAACATAGAAGAGACCACAGGATGTGAAGGGACTGGGACAGAAATTGTCAGAAAACTTGGTAGAGTGAGATTAAGAAAGATAGAAGGCGGAAGTGGGCAATATGGAATGGGACAGTAGCTTTGGGAACAAGAGTAGTTGTTTGGAAGGCTTGAAGAGGTGTAGGAATTGTAGGAAGGGCTGGAGAGGGGTAGACACGATTGCAGTGGGGCAGATGGCATGGGATGAAGAAGAACGAGAGAGTAAGTTCCAAGATACACCGTAAAGGGCTAAGATGTGGAGGTTAAGAAGTGCTGGTGGATATTGCGTGTTAGGGTGGCCTGTACAGAGAGATGACAGTTGTGAGATGATCAAAGTTTGCCTGATTGGGAGACGAGAAAGATGCCAAGTTGAGAATAGCCGGATGAGAAGTGGAGTTTGCCATCTGTCTGGAGCTGTGGTGGACAGGACTGTGAGTCCAGGTAGGTTGTTTGGGTTGGAGCTGACAGGGTGGTTAGTGTTTGCTTACTCTGCCGTGTGATTCCAATGATCGTGTGGTTCTGGTTGGTGGCTTTCTCTTGGTCTGCAGACCATCTCCAGCGTGTTTAGATTGTGCCTCCAGCTCTGGACTTGTTTTGCTTGTTTTCTCTTGGTCCTAACCGTTCGCTCACTTTAGCCCTACCTCTCAGCTGCACGCTGTTTTCCATTGGTTGGTTTTTGTCTGTATGATTACAAACAAGATCCAAGAGCCATACCACATCCTCATCCCTACCTTTAATTTCTGTTTCAGGACTTAACCCTTCCAGGAATATCTCTGTGAAAGAACGCTAACCAGTTTTAAAACCTGTAAATCCCAAGGTCTAGTTCACCAAGGTAGTTTGTCTATGAGGCAGACTACCTATATCTAGTAAGTCCAGGCTTTATGGGAGCTGTGGCAGACCAGGGAGCGGATCTAGGGATGCGCTGTGGCTTGTAAACCATCACCTAATCTTCCGCTTCATAATTCATAAAAGGTAGGGGCTGACATAGATTTCTGGAATCCATTCCAACATTTGTAACTCTATGAATAAATAAGCCAGAGTTTTACTAACCACGGGAGGGGACAGAAGGGTCTCAAGATAGCCAAGTGAGGCCAAGGGTGTTTGAGCAGTAGGGTGAGAGGAATTCTGGATGGGTTAGTATCTGGGAAACTAAGATGCAGCATAGAAAATAACTATTGCATAAACATGAGATGCTTTTATCTCAAACCAATAATGTTTTAAAAGATTCATTTTATTTGAAATGCAGATTTTACAGAGAGGAGAGATTGAGAGAAATACAGAAATTTTCCGTTTGTTTGCCCCCCAAACTCCCACAACTGCCAGAGCTGAGCCAGTCTGCAGCCAGGGGACAGGAGCTTCCTCTGGGTTCCCCACATGGGCGTAAAGACCCAAGGTCTTGGGCCATGCTCACTGTCTTCCCAGGCTGTCTGTAGGGATTTGGTCAAAAGTGGAACACCCAGGACATAAGCCAGCAACCATATAGGGTGCCCACACTACAGGCTGAGGATTAGCTTGATATGCCACTGCACAGGCCCCAAACCAAGAAATTTAAAATAGAAAGTACACTCTTCCCTTTGTATCCATGGTTGGTTGTTTCTAGGATGCGCCACACATCTGAAAATCCAAGGATATTCAAGTCTCATATAAAATGATGATGATTTGCATATAACCTATAAACATCCTCCTGTATTCTTCACATCATCTCTGGATTATTTATAGTACCTAATACCATGTAAATATAATATTATTGCATTGCTTAGGGAAGTATAACAAAAAATAACAAAAAATTGTGTACATGTTCCGTGTAGATATAATTTTTAAAATGTTTTCTGTCACAGTTGGTTGAATCTGCCAATGTAGAAGCCATGAATATGTGTGTCTGTAGCATGCATGATTGTTGCAGTTTTGTCATCTTCTGACATGCCATGGAAGGGAGAAGGATATGTGAAAGTGGGACTGGGCCCTGTTCTTCATCTAATCCATTTTGGTCAGGAATATGTGAAGTTTGACCACTGTAAGCACATGCCTCTTAGCCCTTCTCAAGTTTGAGAGTGCGATTCTTGGGTAGAACAGGAGTGCTGCTACAGCTGAGTCTACAACCCGTAGTCTTGCTGAGAGACTTTCTTCTGTGGCAGAATGGCATTATATAACGCACAGAGTTTCCAAACTCACCTCAAGAACCATTTCCTGTTTAGCTACCCGGAAACTCTCTGGACTTCGTCATTTCTGGACAAGGTTTATGTATTCCTGAGCAAAATGGATGAATGGGTATGTACTGTTGTATGCAGTTTTCATTTTATAGAAGTTCACTGTGTAAGCATGCCCGGTTACCTTTTTAATCATTGGTGATGTGTTCTTCAACCTGCAACTCTTCCTGGAAGGGGGAGCGTGGGGGCTAAAAGTCCCAACTCTATGATCAACCTTGGGCTTCTAGCCGCCGTAAATGGCCATTTTGAGCCTATTGACCACCAGTCATGCAGAAAGGCATTCATTGTTCCACAGATTCCAAAGATTTTAGGAACTATATGATAGGAAACTAGAACAATTACATACACACACATATATACTTTTGTGTGTGTGTGTATGAAAAGAGAAAAACTTTAAACAAATCTGAAATAGTTTGGATTGAGCAAAGACTAATTCATGGATTGGGCAGCCTTCAGGACTAGGACACTTTGCAGTGTGTGCAGACAGCATTGTTGAAATGAAAATAGAGGTGAGGTAAGGAAACCATCCTGCTCAGTGAGAGCTCAGGTTGGCCTTTTTTCCAAACGGTCTAACTGCTTGTCTGCCTGTGACTGAATGGAGCTTGTGATTGACTGAGACTCAGCTATTTGTCCCCAAAGCATAGTCCTAAGCTAAGCTTTCAGTTCATGTGCATGTTAAGTTACAGTGCAGTTCACTTTATGGATACTGTCTCAGCAAGAAGGGTAGGATTAGCCTTGAAAGTTCTAGAAATAATTTAAGAAGTTTGGTAACTTCACAAAAATTAACCTTTTTAAAAATACTGAACACTCTTACAGGTCTAGATGGGCGCCTGGCTCTATTGTTGCAATGAAGAAAGGTCCTCAACAGAGAGTCACCTCCAGCAAGATGCCACCGTCATCTCCCTCTCCGAGCCCGTCATCTCTCACTTCCAGTATGAGGTCCAGGTCACTTTCACCTCTGCTTGGGCCTGACACTTTGCCCTTTTATTCCGAAGGACAGTGGTGTGAGCAAGTCGAAGTTACAGATGAAAACAGCATGCCTTTGGACTGCCAAGACCGTAAAAGTATGGCTATCTAAGAAAGCTAAGAATTTGGTCCCCAGAGTCATGAGCAGGAATGGATAATAGGAGCCCACATTTTTTGATCAAATTTATATCTATCATAACTTGGCATATTGTGGGGTTTTTTTTCTTTTATCCTTTCTGTATGTATTTCATTTTTTATAAAAAGATGTAGTCATTTATTTGAAAGGCAGAATTACAGAGAGCGAGAGATTTTCCATCTGCTGGCTCCCTCCCCAGATGGCTTCAGCAGCCCGAGCTGGACCAGGCTGAAGCCAGTAGCCATGGCTTGTTTGTTTCTGATAGAAACCAGTGGAAAGATTGAGCCTCTGGTTGGGGGTAAAAATTGCTGAAAGGATTAAGAATATGCAGTTTGCAGAAAGAGGAAGTTTTATTTCCTGTGCCGTAAAGCTCATACCCAGGTTTGCCATCCTGTGGTACTGCAAGGACATATTGTCCACTTCAAAGTGGAATGCCTGGATTCGGTATGAAAACATCCTTACTTGGGCTGTGCCAGTGTATCCGTGAAAGGCCTCATTTCCACATGTGGTACATCACATGTCCCACCATTGAATTTGTTTCTTAAAATAGTTGGTCATTCTGAGAGTTTTCACAAGTGCCTTATTCTTCACTAAATCGTAAAATCACAGCCATCAGACTCTGTTGACCTGGATGTCTGATCAGTTCACACTTTAAATATTACCACTGTTGAGTTCGTATTGTACTGACCTTTATGCCATTTAGGTTGGTACATTATTTTTAATTTGATTGTGACCCCTAAAGAAACAAGTGGTAGTTTTCTTCTTATGGTTATTTTTGTTGAATGCTATATGGCTTTAGCAGTCTTTGATGGCAGTAGCCAAGAAGGTCATTAAGTCAGTGTGCTGGACATCAAATTAGTGCTTTGTCTCCTTAAATTATATTTTTGTCTTTATTTAAAATAGTAACAAATTTTGAGATTCTCGTTAGAGAAACAAATTAGGAAAAAAAATACTTTTTAAGTATTTCTGCATTGCTTAGCTTTAGTTTGGAATTTTAAAAAAACTATCAAGTTGTATCAGTTTAGTTTTAAAAACTCACATGAGGGGCCAGTGTTGTGGCATAGTGGGTAAAGTCACCACCTGTAAGGATGGCATCCCGTATGGATGCTGATTGACTTCCCAGCTGCTCTTTTTCCTATCCAGCTCCTTGCTACAACCTGGGAAAAGCAGCAGGAGATGGTCCAAATGTTTGGGCCCCTGACAGCCGCATGAGAGACACTATTGAAGCTGCTAGCTGCTGGTTTCTTGTTATTTCTGACTTTCAAGTAAATAAATGTATCTTTTTAAAATTTATTTATCTTTGTTGGAACGACAGATTCACAAGGAGAAGAGGAGACAGAAAGATCTCCCCTCTACTGGTTCACTCCCTAAAAGGCCACAGTATCCTGAGATGAGCCAATCCAAAGCCAGGAGCCACTATTTGGTCTAAAAAATGTCTTCAAATGCAATATAAAGGACGAGGATCAATTAAATATCAGAGAAGGCAAATCCTGTTCATTTAAATAGTTTCTCTCCCCTTTTTTGCAACCTTCTCTGTCTCTCCTTGATATCTAGAAGAGGTTCAAATTTCTATTATACAACTAAAAAAATAAGTGTGGGCCCGGCACAGTAGCCTAGTGGCTAAAAATCCTTGCCTTGCACATGCCAGGATCCCATATGGGTGCCAGTTCTAATCTTGGCAGCCCCACTTCCCATCCAGTTCCCTGTTAGTGGCCTGTGAAAGCAGTCAAGGACAGCCCAAAGCTTTGGGACCCCACTCCTGGTTTCGGATCAGCTCAGCTCTGACCATTTTGGCTACTTGGGGAATGAATCATTGGACAGAGATTTTCCTCTCTGTCTCTCCTCCTCTCTGTGTATCTGACTTTCCAACAAAAATAAAATTTTAAGAAAAAAAAAAGGTGTAGGAGGTCAGTGGCATAAAAGGCTAATCCTCTGTCTTCCATCCCATATGGGTGCTGGTTCTTGTGCCAACTGCTTGGGAAGAACACGGAGGATAACCCAAGGACTTGGGTCCCTATACCCATGTGGGAGACCCAGAGGAAGCTCTTGGCTCCTGGCTTCACACTGGTATAGCTCTGGCCATTGCAGCCATTCAGGGAGTGAACCGTGAATGGAAGGTCTCTCTCTCATTTTCTCTGTTACTCTGATTTTCAAGTGAAATAAATCTTTTTGAAAAATGTTTGCATTACAGTGGCAGCAAAAAATGATTAGTTTTTCAGAATAACCAAATCTTCCTCTATTGATAATCTGTTTCTGCAATTCCAGAAGCTGATTCGTGTGTAGGAGTCCGATATATTACAGAAGCCCTCATTAAAAAACTCACCAAACAGGACAATTTGGCCTTGGTAAAATCTCTGAACCTTTCACTTTCTAAAGATGGCGGCAAGAAATTTAGGGTAAGTTACCAACCATTTCTGGATCTAAGCCCTGGTTCTAGTTTTTCTGTACCCCAGAGCTACAAAGAAGGAGAAAGGTCAAGCTGTCATCCCTGTGGTAGCCCCTTGAGTGCTCGCAGTGAAAGCTCTAGATCAGAAGTGTAACAGCTGTGACATCATAAGCAACTGTCGCCCAGTATTCTGCACGTCATTGCCTGCCTCTAGCGAAGGCGCTGGCAGAAATACAGCTTCCCAATCAGAAACTTGGTTCCTGTTTTTTGTACAGTTTTATTGGAACACAGCCAAACTCATTTGCTATTGCCCAAGGCCCTTTCTGCATCACAGTAACAGAGCTTGGGAGAGGCAGTCCCTAAGAGAAAGATCTGACATGATTCTCCAGCTCTATGGTGGTCCAAAAATATGCCTGTACAATCCTTCTGTTATTCATTTTCAGTGTGATATTCTTTTATTTTGTTGCCTTTTACAGAAAAAAAAAATGCGATCCTTGCTATAGGGTTAGCTACTCTATTCATAACTATACAACATGAAACCCAATTTAATTAGCAAAATGGAATTTAGATTCTTCACAGAGGAAGGATGCTGAGTTGAGACCTTAATAGTAAGAACTTGGCTGTGTGAATAGCAAGGGCACAGAAAGGAAAAGGAAAGTATCCTGGAGCTTAAAAGCTACAAAAATGGAATATCTGCTTAGTAGGTAGTTGCTGTGTAATTATTATACATGGGGTATTCTTTTAGACAGTAGAAGTAAGTACTCTAAGTTTTTAATCACGGAGAATTTAGATCTTAATTTGGAGACTGCCTCTGACTAAAAGGAAAACTAGCAAAGATGAGAGGAATGCCAGGGAGAGTGCGATGAAAGAGCCTGACGGAGGCGCTGGGCAGAAGCTCCAGCAGGAGGGCACCCTCAGGTAGGAAAGGACGAAATAAAATGCCAACAGAATACAGTGCTGACGTCATGTGCATTTAAGATGCCCTTCCCTCTGTTTTTAAACCTAGCAGATTCCTTCTTGGGTTCTCTGTATTTTTTTGTTTTGTGAGCCTAGTATTGTGTTTCCATTTTCTCAGTCACTAATTTCTCATCTTTCTGTTGATCAGTTTTTATTTAGTACACTACGTGCCAGGCAGTAGTCCTATATAGCATGAGCACAACAGAAAAAAAAAATAGACTCTTGTTGCCTTGTGTTCTGCTGCATTTCTTGCTAGTGTTCACTGCCTGGAAAATCATGTTTGCTTGTTTGTTTGTTAGCTGTCTGCCCTGATGAAGGAGAACAAACTCCTGCCTTCCTTATTCCCCACTGTATGCACAAAACAGCTCCTGGCACATAATCCACTTTTGCGAAGTATTTATAGGATAGATGAATGAATAGTAACCTTGGCGAGAACCATTTGAGTGTGTGGATGTAGTAGAAGATACATGCCCAATCCAAATGGCTCCAATCCGGAGGGAATGGAGGGAGGAATGATGCAGTGCAGACAGCTCTGTGAGAACATGAGTGGCAGATAAGGGAGATAAGATGATGGCTCAGTGCTCCGGTGCCTCGCTTGACAGAGAGGAATCAGCACAGAGATGCTGTCCGGTTCAGTGCTGTGTTGCTGTGTCCTCATTACCTCTTGCCATGGCTTGTATGTGCTTGAGTAGCTAACAAATATCTTTTGGAAAATGACCACTTTTTAACTTCTGGATAAGAAGATTCGGGGAGCAGGTAGTTTAGATTATGCCAGAACATAGGCACCTCAGGTAAACTCAAAGGAAACTTCTGTTTGGAAGAAAGGAAGGGAGAGAGAGAAAAAGGGGTAGCGTAGACAAGTTGGGGCAGAGGGAGCAGTGATTTTTGTTGGATAGTCCTGAACTGTCTGTGTAGTCAGTGATCCACTGGGGAGCAGGATAGCACCCCCTTTGGTGAGGGGGAGCTGCACCCGAGGCATTGTCTGTGTGAGCGCTGAGGGTTTGCTATTCTCTGATGACTGATCGAAGCAGCCGCTGACACACAGGCTTTGGTTCAGCGTGCTGTGTCCGTGCATCTTGTATAAAGTTTTTACTCATTTGTTTCCAACCAGTATATCGAAAATTTGGAAAAGTGTGTTAAACTTGAAGTCCTGAATCTCAGCTGTAATCTAATAGGGAAGATTGAGAAGATGGACAAGCTGTTAAGATTACGGGAACTCAATTTATCGTATAATAAAATCAGGTGAGTAAATGCTTCCTTAGGTAGCATGACAAAGTCTGTGTATAGAGTGGTTCATCCGCTGCCCGTGTTAACCAGAGCCCTTTGAAACCTTGTCCATTCATGGTCTAGTCCTTCACATATAGCTGTTTGTATGTTTTGGCATTACATAGGCACAGGAAATTATCTAACATTATCAAGGAAGGAGATAATATTTTCGAGTCCCCAGCTGTATCTGAATTCCATTTCTGACAAACCTCCCACAGATGTCTGTGATTTTCTCTGTATTTGGGAAAGAATGTTGACAGGAAGCCAAGAGTTTTTAATTTTACTGTTTTGGTCTCAAGTATTTGAGCCCACTGAACCAGTGTATTTATCCTGATGTTCTTTGCTCATTGCCCTAAGGAATAACTCCCAATCCTGTTTCTGATTTATAATAAATATTACTGTGAGAAATAATCATTAATACCTACAGTGATAAAACTGCATGTGGACAAACTTATTACAATCAAAAAGATTCAAAGATCAAATCTGAAACATCTTAATATTTGTATGCTTTTCCCTCAAGTTATGTTTGGTAAATATGGTGGCCAAAAAGCCAAAATAATAGCAGACTTTTTAGTAAGACAAAAATGATATTTTAAATCCAATTAATGAATGAAACTTAAAATACAAAATTCAGGTAAGGAATGATTGCTTCTGATGAAAATAATTTCAGGAAAATAAAAATGAAAATAAAGAAGCTTAGAAATATTCACCCAGTACAGAAAATTGACAAAAGAATTAAATTTACAATCACATAAATGTTTTATTAATTTAAATATTCTTATTGAAATATTTACATTCAGAAACACAATATCGTTCCAGAAGTAATTATATCCTGCTGGCATTGTTAATTTTTATAACAATGATGTGATAGTTTCTAGCATTGTACTTACTAAATTTGATTTATCCTTTTGTTTCCAGCAAAATTGAAGGCATAGAAAATATGTGTAATCTGCAAAAGCTAAACCTTGCAGGAAATGAAATTGAACATGTTCCAGTATGGTTAGGGAAAAAATTAAGATCTTTACGAGTCCTTAATCTAAAAGGCAACAAGATATCATCGGTAAGTTATTCAAAATTGTTTTATTTTCAGATTTTTGAAAATCCTGAATAAAGCCAATTTACAATTTTCAGTTGTTTTGAGAAAAAAAAAAGAGAAACGTTTTGTTTTTAGCCAACCACTAAAATCAGGCATAACCTAGAATACTCCAGAGTTCATTAGATATAGGCAGTTCTCATCTTGCATGGTTTCCGCAGTAACTAAGAGTTGATTGTTTAGCAGTCGCATTTATTGTCTCACTTGAGCCTTTAACAATGTTGTTCTTACTAAGAAGCCAGTGCAGAGATTGTTTTTCATATACTTTGAGTTAGACAGGGTGGTCTTATTCCCACTTATATGTAAGGTTTCAGACTCAGTCCCTTACTCAAAGTCACAGCTCATGCCAGAATTTAGATCACTACAAAGCAAAGAATTTTATTTCCCTTTACAGTATTATCGTATAATCAAGTTTTCAATCTTGTGGATTAATATTAATCATGATATCGTGTGGTATTAGAAGTTGATCACTCACTTTTCATACCAAAGCAGCATTGTTGTAGTCAACATAATTGGATAATGATATGGATTTTACTCTGGAGTATAGTTTGCAATTTTTATGGTTTTTATAGTTGCACGTTCCAAAATTTTTTGCTAAGTAAAAACATTCATTTGTCTAAAAATTGGAAAAATCATGGTGTAACTTAAAAACCCTCAGATGTGGAACAGAAAATGAAAAATGTTTCTTTAAGTATGTATGCAGACTTGTCTCCTATAATGTTAGAGAATGCCTTACTTTTTCTAAAATTTGTTATTTAAACTGGAGAATATGAATCCCGGTACCAACTCCTTTAAGAGTATTGGTGGGCTTGTATAAAATGAAAGCTGTAAAAATGCTTTAGAAACTTTTATACACTAAATAACTCTAAAGCTGTATTCCTCAAATTGTCACAAATGGAAGCCAGTACTAACAAGCAGTATTTATTTAACACTTTTTAAAAGATTTATTTATTTTTATTGGAAAGGCAGATTTATAGAGAGAGGAGGAGAGACAGACAGAAAGATCTTCCATTGGCTGGTTCACTCTCCAAGTGGCTGCAACAGCTGGAGCCAAGCTGATCCAAAACTAGGAGCCAGGAGCTTCTTCCATCTGGGTCTCCCCTGTGGTTGCTGGGTCCCAAGGCCTTGGGTTGCCCTCGAATGCTTTCCCAGGCCACAAGCAGCGAAGTAGAGCTACAGGATATGAACTTGTGCCCATATGGGATCCTGGCACATGCAAGGCAAGGGCCTCAGCCACCAGGCTGCTGCACTTGGTCCTGATTTCAATTTTCAAAATATTTATTTATTTGAAAGGCAGAGTTACAGGAATAGACAGAGACAGACTGAGAAAGAGAGGGAGAGAAAGATGGTAAGATTGTCCTTGTCTGGCTTATTTGCCAGTGGCCACAATGGCTGAGTTGGCCTGGTTAGGCTAGGTTGAAGCGAGGAGCCTGAAACTATCTGGGTCTCCCAAGTGGGTGACAGGGACCCACCTAAGCCGCACCATCTTCTGCTACCTTCCCAAGCGCAGTATCAGGGAGTTGATCGCAGTGTTCTGACCCGGGATGCTTGTGTGGCTTAACCAAATATACCACAGAGCTGGTTCCATCTGGAGCTCTCGAATCTCTTGTGATTACGGGAAGAGATATCTAAAAATTCCTCAGAGATTCCTACAAGGTAGTTGATGCTTACGATAGTACTAAGTGTCACCTAAGTAACAGAAAAACCACCTAATAAATGTTGGTGATTTTTGATTTTGTGTAAGGTTTTCATCCTGATTTTGACATGGATTATCATTAGGAGTCATGCACATTAACTTGGGAAACAATATTGGCTTGTACCAGCTATTTAGAATAGTGTTAGTCAACTTCCTTAAAACCTTTCATAAATGGAGGAAAATTGTTTCAAAATGTGTCTTGGGGCAGGCATGTGGTGTAGTGCGTTAAGCAGCTGCTTGGAGTGCCTGCATTCCATATCAGAATGCTGGTTTGGGTCCTAGCGCCTCGCTCTGCTTCTGATCCAGCTTCCTGCTGATGCATCCTGGGAGGCAGCAGATGATGACTGCCGTGGTTAAGCCCCTGCCAACCATGTAGGAGGCCCAAATAGAGTTCCGGCCTCAGGGTTTTGGCTTGGCCCAGCCCTGCCACTGCAGGCATTCAAGCAGATGAAAAAAGTACCTCCATATCTCTACATATCCTTACGTGTCTTAACTATTGGTTATAAGTCAATTATCAAAGGCTTACCAAAATCTTTTTCTAGCCATTTAGAGATTTTTATCAATGTAATGAAACACATGTAAGTTGCACTCACTTAAAGTGAAATTCCGTGCTTATAGGCTCCGAGCTTTGGACAAGTCACCAACTTCTTTGAAATTGAGTTTCTTCCTCTATAAAATTACGCTGGTGCTTGCATCGCAGGTTGTGGGAATCACAGTGAAATGGAACGTTGGGGCCTGATACTACTGTGATGCGTGTTGTTTCCTTTTTATTCCTTCTGCAGTTTTGGGGGTTTTGGGTTTTATGCATTGATTCCCTGCAATGTAATAGCAGTTTCCTCAATGCCTTACTTCCTTTTAGGTATGTTTTAAAGTATAGCAATTGTGGTACTATGTTGTTGTTTTAGCTCCAGAATGTAAGCAGGTTGAAACCACTTCAAGATTTGACTTCCCTGATCCTACTTGAAAATCCAGTTGTGGCGCTTCCTCATTACCTCCAGTTCACCATATTCCATCTGCGTTCATTGGAAAGTTTGGAAGGTCAACCAGTAACCACCCAGGATAGACACGAGGCTTTTGAAAGATTCAGTTTAGGTAAAATAATTTTTAAATAACCTGAAATTTGGGCAAAGAAGGAATTTATTTTGGTTATCAAAAAAATGCTGTATGAACTTTATGAGACTGTTAAACTTTTTAATACTGTTAAAATTTATAATGAGTTTTATAATACTGTTAAATGAACTTTGTAAAGTCATTAAAGTTGCATGGCAAGTGATACCATAAATCAATTAACTTAACATATATGTACAGACAAAAAAAAAGGAAATCTAGGTGCAGTGACAGAGAGGAACCTTCCAGATGGTGTAATGTGATACACAGGAGTGACCCTCTGAGGAAGTAGCAGTTAAGCTGAAGACAGAGGGAAGAGAGGGTTCGCCATGTGAATTGCGGTTGTCATGAAAAGGAACAGCTTGTTTTCTTAGGGTACGAGGACCCTAGGAGTTCAGTGAGGCAGGAGTATTATTCTCCCACTCTCCCCCATGAAAAAAAAGTTTGGGGAGATAGAAAGACGTAAGAAGGCACAGGTCTTGAGGTTTGAATTCTATTTCAAATATAAAATCTGATTAAGAAAAATTTTGGGCCAAGGTAGAGAATGGTACAGGGCCAAATGAATGTGAAAGGATCTGCTGGGGAAATGCTGCAGTGATCTAGGCTGTAGCTGCTGGCGGCCTGTACTTAGGTGGTGGCTGTGGGAAATTAAATGGATCAACTTTGGTGGTAGGATCAGTAGCACTAATAAATTATATAATTCTGAGACTTCGGGGTTGAGTAAGTGGTTAGTTGGGATACCGTTTATTAAAAAAAAAAAGGAAGAATGCAGAATTTTGTTTAAGACGTGGAGTTTGAGATATCTGCAAGAGAACCAGGTAAAATTCAAATTTAGAGTTTGAAGACACATGAACTGGAGATACAGTTTTGGGAGTCATCCACAAAAATGTTTTCATGGGAATGAGTTTGCTCATTCAGGTGTGGATGGAAAAGAGGAAGAAAGGCAGCTCGCTGAAGAAACTGAGAGGCCAGCAGGGCGGAGGAAAACCAGCAAACAGCAGGTTGCAAAACCCCAGAGAGATTCAAGAGAGGAAGTGGTCGACCATGTTGAGTGTTGTGGAGACATGAAGCGAGCTGCACCAGAGGAAGTGCTTTAGACCAACTGCGGGCGGTGGCGAGCTTGACAGGAGTGCTGGGAACAAATGCCAGATTACAATGGCTTGAAGAGTGAACTGAAGGGAGATGTTGGCTGGAGTTTCCACTTAGAGTTTTTTCTGCCCTAGTCCTTAAAAAATGTTTCAAGTTTAATAGTAATAATAAAAAAAGAAATATTTAGCCATAGCTTCCAAACCAGGAGATGGGCAAAAATGATGAAGGCAACAACCCCCAAAGCTGGTAATGAAACAGACCAGCAGAATATTCAAGAGTGGAATGGAGGGACGAACCATGACTGGATTCTCTTGGTCCTTGAGAAGACATGGAGATGATATTAGAGAGGAAAGAAGGCGCTTGATAGGAAGGGTACTTTCTGCATGGAAAGGGAAGAAGATGCAGGTAGATGTAGCTAGTTTTGTTTTGTTAGTGGGATAAGAAGGTGTGTTTTTTCATTGAAATATAAAGTCATCCTGTAAGAAAAGCTCCATGGAGTATAGAAGGTTTGAGGAGAAAGAAGAAGATTTGAAGTGACTGTTGCAGAGTGTTGGGAAACGAACCAGTCTTTTAACCTTTTAAAATTGATGTTAGTCCGTTTGCACCTTTATGTTGCAGTCCAGTGCTTAAAAACAGGGTAAAAACCAAAAACAGGGTGCATTGTATTAGTTTAGGATTCTCCTATCGCCATTTGTAGCTAGGATTTGTATGTTTTGGAAACATTAACAATATAATGTGAAGGAAAGTTATCATAAAAATATATTATTGGGAAAATGTAGTTTATTTGTAACTCCAAATATTAATTAAAACTTGAATGTGCTAGATAGACTCTTAGGAGTAAACCTTGAGCTAGAAAGAGACAAGTAAACGATTTGGTCACACTTTACACTGTCCTGTGTGACGTGGGGCATGGCAGAAGTTCACAGTGGCGTGGGAGCATCTGGGGAGAGAAAAGGGCCATTGTAGATTTCTTAGAGATTTTGTAAAAATTAAGACCCAAAGGATGCACAGCAGCCCACTAGGAGTTAGAGAAGACAGCTCTGGGCAAAGGGTGGGAGTAAGAAGCCTGCACATGAGAAAGGGCATTGCAGGTCTGAAGAACTGGAATGGTGTTTCCAGAAAGCGGCAGGGGGTGTGTGCTGGGAGAAGGGACCCAAGAGGGTCAGGTGGCTTCCCGAGGATCCTTATCAGCACTGCGTGTCAGCTTTTTGCATCTTAACCTAAGAGTAATTAGGAAGCTCTTGAAGGATTTTAAGATGATGTAGTATTTCACACTCATAGCATTCCTTTAAATAGAATTATGAACATCAAATAAAGCATGATAGCTTTAATGCTGCTTAGTATCACAGGAAGGTATTCTAACATGTATTGTTAGCCCGGGAAAGGATCAGAATTCTGCATTCACAGTAAAGTTTTTACTGAACTTGTTTTCACATCAGCATAAAAGTTGAAAAAAACATAGTCAAGCATCACAAATGGGTTGATGTCTGTATTGCCTTTTAAAAGTATGATCCAAATAATACCTTTTTGCTTTTAATGTAAATGAATTTCGAGATCAGTGTTATATTTTTTCCCAATGCTGTGGTGGATAATTTTAGAAGTAGAATTGTGTTTATACAACTCTTGAATTTCTGCTGTTTTATTTAAGAAATAGTCTTATATTCTTTTCAAACAGGAAATATAATGATAAACTGTTACTTTTTTATTGGCAGAAGAGATAGAAAGACTGGAAAAAGACCTAGAAAAGAAGGTGATGGAAACCGAAGAGCTTAAAAGCAAACAAACAAAGATCCTTGAGGAAATCAAAAGCCAAGATAAACTGAACAGATCCTTAAAAGAAGAGGCCATGCTACAGAAACAAAATTTTGAGGAACTTGAGAGTGACCTAAACACGAAAAATGAATTGGTGAGTCTGTATTTTGTATTATGTTTCTGGTATTAAGATAGTTTTTAACCCCTAGGTTCAAAAATGCAGCTTCTTGATCATAGAGTGGGGCAGACATAGTTTAACAGAAATATGCAGATGACTTTACATATTGTAGTTGACCAGACACTGGATGATATGGCAACACGAGGTTCATGGTGTGTGGCCTGTTCCATGCAGCATGGCATCCAGAACCAAAGGAAAGGGTGACCCCCGCCCCCCCACCCACTCTGAGGCAGTGGTGAGCCTGCCCCAGACATGTGTATGTTTTTAAACAACATTTTAGATAAACTATTTTAAACTTTTAGAAGGCAAAATTATTCACATTTAAAATATATTCTAAGCGATTCTATTTCCATTGATAGATTCTATAGAAATTATAGCCAGATGTGTGAAAATTTTATATATACGTATATGTAATTGTTTATACTCACAAACATGTATATACACACACAAGGATATTCACTGTAACATTGTTCACATGAGTAAAAACTATAAATCAGTGGGAGAGCCCTTAGTGGACATCTATGTGGTAGAACAGTAATAAAGCAGAGCTGTTATGTCCTGACATAGAATGCTGCTTGACATATTTTACTAGGTGAAAAAAAGCAAGTTGCAAAACAGTTTATAAAATGTGTTTTCCTGTATTTTAAAATACATTAAATCATATTTAAGTAAAAATGGTAAAATGTGCACCTAACTCTTTACAGTAAGTATTTCTGAGGAGTAGAATTCTAGGACACCTTAAAATGGCCCATTGTGTGTATCTGTTATATTTGATTTTTTATATCTTGGGTCTGTGGTTGAAATAGGAAGCATAGTAAAGTGTGAAAAGATGGAGAGTAGATAAGGTCTGTTTAGAAGGTAATTTCTGCAGAGCATAGAGCAGTCTTGAGGTCATGTTAGGTGAGCAACGACCAGGGAAGTAAGGGTGTGCAGACTGACAGGAGACCCAGTGAACTGTGACATTGCTCTAATAGAGGGTTTTCTTAGGCACTAGAGTTAGCTCCTAAGGCCCCGGAAGAGAAAATGCAGACTTAACAAATACAGTTAGGAAAAAGTGGGTTTCATCTAGTAACCTAGAATAAGTTCTGGTGGCTGTCCTGAAGTGTGACAATGACTGAAATATGTTTGCTGTCTGAAATAGGCAGAGGCCGGCCACATGCTCAAGGTTTGGGGAAAGATCAACAACAGTAGACAGGGAAAGGGACCAAATGACTAAAGGCTTTTTCAAATCAGAAAATCTCGGATTATGTAAACTTGGGCCATTTTTTGATTATTAATTACCTACCCCTCTTCCCTCCCCACCCCCCCACCCCCGCTTTTGGTGTTAATCCCGCAGTCTGACATTTGCATAATTTGTAGGGACTTATTGTGTAGCTAACAGAGTTGTAGATACACTTTCCTAAATTCTGTATCCCTTAAAAATTCTGTTTTGTTTTTTTTTTTTTAACAAGAAGGAAAATGTTCTCTTCTCTGATTAGAGAAGAAAGCTGGCACTTTGAAATATGAATTTTTAACCACTTCCTTCTTGCCTGAGGGAAAAAGGTCATGTTATACCAGGCCAGTTTGATGCAAACACAGGACAGCTTCCCCAGCTCCATTGTGTAAATGCTCGGAGTATTTGTGAGTTCCTTCACGTACCTTTGTAGATGGTTTTGAAGTTTCTCAGTTGTATCTGGAAGATATTGTGTTAATGATAAGTGTTCTCCATTTGTGATAGAGTGAATTGATGAGGAATGAACCTGGCGGAGAGTTATTGACAGTTGTATTTAAGCTGTGAACTGTTCCCTCGCTTGTAATACAGCTATGGTTGTGTAATGAGTATGCAATTAAGTACATAGTCTTGGACTATTTTTGTGATTTTACAAACAAGACAAAATGATATATGTGAACTGTTTTCCAGTTCATGTATAAAAATCTTTATTATAAACTTTTTTATTAAAAATGAAAACTTTTGTTAAAATCTTTTAATATAAATCTTCATTGTTTTTAAAGTCTATATTGTATTCCATTAAATAAACCCTCCATAATTTAGTCAACCTACTCTTAACTGATGCACATTTAGGTTGCTTTTTGTTTATCTATTTATATATTTATTGCTTTTACAAACAACTGCAGAGAAAATCTCACAATGGAAATGCTGCAGTGAGACCAGCATAGCCATGGGTTTCTAAACAAATGTGGATTGAAAATATTAGGCTAGGTGCTCACCATTGCCCCTTCAACATTACTGTGTAGCAGCTGCTGGCAGCATTTCCATTGTGCTAGCTGTTATGTGGAACCTAAAGGTGATATAAAGGATACAGGAGGGTGGGTGGTATGCTATATGCAGATCCTGTGCTTTTATGCGTGGACATGTTTTTATATGGCAGGGTCCTTGAATGGAACTCCTGTGGATGCTGAAGGATGATTACTCACACACGTAACTTTTATACACATACCTGTATTTCTTCAACATAAATTACCACAGAATGAACTCTGTTGTGTAATTTGTATCTAAATTTTTTATTTATGTTAGCACATACTGCAGAAAGCCAATAGCCTATTTACACTTCACAGCAGCAAATGAAGGGATCTAGTTTCCAACTAGATATTGTTATTTCAAACTTGTATGATAGGAAAAAATGTCATTTTTGCATTTACTGGAGAGTTGAGAAGTGCTTGTATATTTACTGATTATTTTGTATTCTTTAAATTGCCAATTTGTGTTCTTTTCCATATTCTATTATTCCAAGGGACTAAATTAAAAGAAAAAGAATTATAAGTCTTACTCTAGTAGCCTATATTTAAAACCATTTTCCATTATCTTTTAAATAATATCTGATAATAATATAGCTTACAGTTGTATGATGTTTTCCAGTTTTGTAAGGCTAGCAATTGCTTGTACATTTAGGCCATTTATTATAAAATAGCATTGAAATAAGTCTTCTGGTGGCCATCTAAACCATAATAATCCCCCAGTCCCCCACCAGCGGAAGTTAGCCTCTGTCCTCTTACAAGTTCTTTAGTTCCTGTCCTTCTGTTTCCTTATTTTTAAGTAAGTATGATTTGCCTCTCTTGCCCACCTCAGAGAGTTGAACTTAATGAGGTGATCAATGTTAAAATGATTTGAAATGAATCAAGCCAAGGAGTGGGAGGTGGTAAAGCTGACTCATGGAGTGACAGTGAAATGTGTCCATGTAAAATAATGCAGGTAGTGATAACTGTTTCTTCCGGTGGTAAGTTTTCAGCAAGGATTGGGTTTTGTTCCTGCAGTTAAACTCCAGAGTTCTTTAGTGACAGTATCTGTTTGCTTCTTTTTCCCTTTAGTGCTTGTCTTGGTTTCTGGCAGGCTTTGTGCTGGTTCTTTATTCTTCCATAAAGGTAGCTCCTTCAGGGCTCAGCTGCACACTGTGTTTTTCATGGTTTGCATGACAACTTGTATTAATCTGTTTGTTTATATTTTAAGTTTTGAAATTGCTCACCTCTTTAGGAAATGTGTTTGTGTGTATATATTTTATTATCATTATTATCACATATAGGTGAGCAAATTTGAATGTGATGGGGGGAGTGTTGCTATTGTCTTTCCTGCTTATTTGCAGTCACCTCTTGATTATCTGCAGTCACTACGACAAGCAGCCTACTTTGTTGGGCCTTCGCTCCTTAATTGCTCTCACTTAAGCCCACCTTCAACAGATATTTACTTTTCTTACTATGATATGTGCTAAGCCTGTGGCTACAGAAAGTCCGAAGTACTTTGGAATGCACAGATTATTGCTTGCCTGAAAAGACCAGTCCGTGCATCCTCCGTGTGTCAGGTTACAGTTTCCTTTTGTTTGACCCTACTGCCAATGAGATTTGTGGTGAACAAACCCAAGATCAGTTGACATTATTGTTTGTGAGTGTTTTTCTTAGGGATTTGTGAATGCTCAAGGAAATATCAAAGTGGGTAGTGTGCCTTACTCTCTGGAGCAGGACTGCAAAGGCTGCGTGCTACAATAGGTAGAGTGTCAGGAACTGAGCTCCACCTCTCTGACTACCAGCTCTGCCTTTGGACAAGTTATTTAACTTCTCAGTGCTGCCTCTTAACATCTCACAGGGTGCTGGTGATGAGTTGGTGGGATAGCCCAGCACAGGGTCTGGCGTACAGTGAGTCCTCGGATTCATTGGCTGTTACCCAAGCTGGCATTTCTTCACAGATAACCAGGGGGTGACTGTAAACTAAATAATGCATGGCTTTGAATTCCCAGGTCTTGCAAATTTGTGCTTTTTATGTTTTCCTTTCCTCAGCTTGCATTTTTATCTTACTGAAATTTGACTGCATGTTTTTGTCTGACCACTACTTTCAGACACGAGCAAAGAAAACCCCAAATCACAAAAATCACCTTTGAAATGAACTTGAACAGTTGGCTTAGTAGAAACATTATCCGTGCTGGTGGTTCAGTGTCTAGCCTCTGCTTCTAATCTAACAAGTCAGTTCACCATCAAAGACTCCATTTCTGTATAAGTCAGATAACTGTGTTGGATGATTTCTTGTGTTCTCCCAGCTCTAAATTTTTTAAGAATAAACAAAAAGTTATAGTAGAATTATTTTATTATAAATTAGTATTCGAGGCTGGTGTTGTGGCACAGAAAGTTAAATTACAGGTTGCAACACAAGCATTCCATATTGGAGTGCCAGTTGGAGTTCCAACCAACCTGCTTCTGAGCCAGCTTCCTGCTAATGCTCCTGGAAGGGCACCGGAAGATGGCCCAAGTCCTCGGGCCCTTGCCATCCAAGTGCGAGACCAAGGTTAGCGTTCCTGGTTTCCGAATTTAGCCCAGACCTAGCTCTTGAGACCAGTGGGGGTTGAATCAGCATATGGAAGATCTCCTTCTCTCTGACTCTCCCTCTCTCACTGAGCCTTTCCAAATGCATAAATAATTCTATTTAAAATTTTACTCTGACATATTTGGATCATTGATTTATTCACATTCCTTACCACATGTTACAAAGAATAGTACTCATAAAACTGAAATGCCATTAGACACAAAAACTATAATGTAACAGGAGAGCAATTAAAGCTAGTCTCTTCCCGCTCTTCCTTTTCATTCCTCTGTAACTAATGCCCAGTGTTATTGCAGTGATTGGAGGCTATGATCCACATTTAAGAGTGAGTTTCAGAGAGAATGCTAATTATTAAGAGCCAAAAAACAGATACTTAATATCCAGTTACTTTAAAATAATTGATTGTATTATTTTCATGTTCCGATAAACACTTAATAAAACACAGAGATAAAACCCTGACATACCATTATAAACTTCAAAGGTCTTTTATGTGATCTCTTATGAAATAATTATTTTTATTTCATTCTTAAAAACCTTAGAACAATGATAAAATATTTTGAATGTGGGTTTTGCTGTGGAGTTTTTAAAAACAGTTATTAGTTATGATGAGAACTGGATATATTCTTACATCTTTATGCTAATTTACTGATTCTGTGTGTTGTCTTACACTAAATTGGGCCTATAGCTAAAACAGAAGACCATGGAACTAACGCGAGCCTGTCAAAAGCAATATGAGCTTGAGCAGGAATTGGCCTTTTATAAAATCGATGCGAAGTTTGAGCCACTAAATTACTATCCATCAGAGGTGAGTTATTTTTAATTTATTAGTAATCCAAGGTTAATGCTGAATTGGTTGGGGAGGAAGGGCAGGTGGTAGGGACCATTCAAAGGATTTTGTCAGTAACCAGACCACTTTCTTGAGATGAGGACATCTGCAGATGAAACTGTCCTCCTTGAGTTATTCTTCTCAGTCCATTAGAACAGTGTCGGCAAGAACCAGAAAGCCCCCACAGGGTCTCACACAGCTGTATCCATAACCAAAAGCAGCCGTGTGAACCTCGGGGTCCTCACTGAGGGGCGTGGGTGATGAACTCCCCCAAGTGCTTCCGTGCTGTGGAGTAGTAGTACTCGCTCCGGTTTATTCAGTCATCACTGGATTCAGGCTTAGTGGACCATTTTGGGGACGATTGCCGCATGTGCTCCTACAACTGAGAGCCAGTGACTCCAAATTGTGTTACTTAATTTTCTAAAAATCGATTATTAAAGTATACTTGACCAAGATTTAACTTACATTAGCTAAGAAACAAAAAATAAAAGCATTCAGAATTTTAATTAGAAATCAAGCAGTGCTGAAAGTCAAGCTTTCATTCTTGTGGTAGATGATACATATTTTAGCATCTAGGCATGTAATATTAACATAAACTTAGGCAATTCTGTAATATAATACCTCTAGTGAGATGACTGCTTGGAATAATCATGGATTATTATGTTTTTCAGTATGCTGAAATTGATAAAGCCCCAGATGAAAGCCCTTACATTGGCAAGTCCAGGTACAAGAGAAACATGTTCGCCATGGAGAGTTATATTGTTCCTAATGCCCAGGCAGTGCAGATCAAGCTGGTGGAGCCGCCTGAGGGAGGACAACCTGGAAATGAACCTGCTAATCCAAGAGTCTGTTCCCCGCTGGGTGTACAGCTGGAAGACAAAGAAAAAAAAATAAATACAGGTTGAAAAGAATTCTTTAAAATCCTTGAAAAATATAAAAAAGATTGAATATATAGACCAGCTTTTCTTACGTCTTTTAGTCTTTTAGTTGAACATGCTGATGATATTGTATAGCTGTTACATGAGAAGTCTAAACAGAAGTAGTGATTCATTGCAGATGATTCATTAATGATTCCAATTGATGGCTGAGAATGGGGCTTTTGACAGGAATTTGGTGGCATTGTGTCCAGGATAGCTAAGAATGCATAAATCCTATCCTGCCATCAGACATTGAAACTGTACATTCAAAGGCAAAGCTGGAATAATTGAAGCAAGTAAGGACCTATTTTATTAGTTGTCTTGCAGATTGCCAGAGCTTAAGGCAGTGCTTGGGAGGAGCTGGCCCGGGGCCCCCTGACTTCCTGACCCCCACACCTCTCTTCTGCAAGGGGGATCCTAGCACCTCCGTAAAGTCACTGGGAGAGAAATCAAGCTGAGGACACTGCGGAGATGGTGCTGATGACAGACTCTGATTACATTTGTCCACTCAGCTGCGTGGATGTAGAAGAAAGAGATAGCAGACCTGAATTCACACCTCCCCACTTGAAATCCTGGGCCGTGGTCTGCCCTCAGCACTCGTGTTAGCCACTCAGGGGTTACTGAACCAAAGACGTGGAGGGCCTGTAGAGACTGCCTGATGAAGGGAAGACAGGGCTTGCTTCTTTCCCACATACACTCTATGCAAGACGCTGGCGGGGCAGGCGAGATAAACTGCTCTGTGTGCTGACTCCCTGCAGAGAGGTTGCTCAGTAGTGAACCTCTTGATACACTCTCATACTAAAGCAGGGTTTCTTTCTTTCTTTTTTTTTTAATGCTCTGGAGTTAATAACAACTAGTGATATGTAAAGTGCATATTTTGCAATAAAATCCACCTCACTAGGGTTTCACTAGTGTTGAGGGTATTGAGCAAGGCCTCTTTTTGTTAAGATATAAACAGGTAAAGAGACCAATTATAGGTCTGTAAACATATCATGAAACAGTTTATCCTAGAGAGTCATAGAGATAAAAGCCATAAAAGTAAGCATTTAAGAAAAAATTTTAAGATCTGTAATAAGAGAATTTAATTGAGGGGGAGGAAAGAGGCTACTGAAAAGGGAAATCTAGTAGAATTTCAGAATTTAAGGTGTTTCTTGTGTGTGTGTGTGTGAGCATGGTTTTTAAATTTGCAGCACAAACCCGACTGTCACAACTGCATGATGAAATAGAAAAGGCAGAACAAAAAATTTTAAGAGCTACTGAAGAATTTAAACAACTGGAAGAAGCTATACAGCTAAAAAAAGTATGTAAAAGTAAAGCAACAATGCCAAGAGGAAATGAGAGAAATTGTATGTGTTTCCCCTTTATAGCTATAGAAAACCACTTTTGTATCAGTGCTGCCTGACTAATTATGCATTGGTTAATTTCAGAGTCAAATATGGTTCTAGGATTCCCCCGTTACATTTTTTCTTCCATTCATAATGATATTCTGTTAGCATTTTATAAAGTATATAGAAATAAAATACTTTGTATAAAAGAATGTGTTCTCGCTATTAAGGAAGTGATTATTTTGGCCAAGGAAGTGGCTTCCTAATATATCTTCTAAATTAGGAATCGCTCCCTTAAGATCAGAGGACCTAGATTAAGAGCCAAAGGTATTTAAAGGTATTTCTGATTGGATAAACACTGTCAAAGATGAGAACCAAAAAAAAATGTGGTATACATAAAGATGAAAAGTCTACAACATGTTCAGAAATTGCTGATGTGCACCCTGAAGACATAAGGAACCCAAAACCATGATATAATTGTATAGGAAGAAATGAATGATTTTAAAAATGAATGATTTTAACGTTTTCCTTTTGTATGTAGTACATGTAAGTTGTATGTTAAAGTCAGAATTCATTCGTAACAGCTAGAACAAGAATGTGAAGCCAAAATTGTAGTTTTTAAGAAAAGATACACTGTGTTGTTACTTTTACATTGTATAGTAACTAGAAATTTGTGTTTATTGAGAGGTGAACAAAACAGATGGTGACCTGAGGTGGACACATGGTGACATGCAGGAGCCAGAGAGCGAGGGGCGGGCTTTGAGAGAGGCCAAGGCCTTCAGATTAAAGATTTCCCTGTAGTCTGGATGTCCTGGAAGATGTGGGCATGAGTTTAAGGTTCATGGAAGGCCTAGAGGCCGTTTTAAGTAGCTTTATTTGTATGTGATGGGACACCTTTGAAGGGTTTTAAGTAGTATACTGGCTGATGCTACTTGTCACTTGTGAGAGTGAAATTGGGGTGAGGGTGATGGGAGACGATGGAGATGAATGTTTCTGTTGGGGAGGTTGGCGCATCCCCAGTAAGGTGATGCTGACTGACTTTAGGGAGGTTTCAGCAGTAAGACTGGATAGGACTTTGATTTTATACTTCTATGCAGACTTTTGAGAAATGGTTAGTATAAATGTCCATGCTGGGGCCAGCGCTGTGGGACAGAGTTAAGCTGGTGCGTGTGATCTAACAACCTGTGCCACAGTGCTGGTTGCTTCTGAGCCAGCTTTCTGCTCAGGTGTCGCTAGTCAATTTCCTGGCCAATATCTTTACATATAAACTCATTAAGACACCGTAGTTAGTGAAAACTCATTAGAGAAGTGTGACCAGTGAAATGATCTGTAGAGTCACGCAGAGTCTTGGTCCCGCACCTTCTAGTGTGACTTTGGGCTTACTTAACTGGCCGTGACTGTTCCCTGGTCTGTGAGACGGGGTAAGTTACATGCTTTGCAGGTTAAAACATGTAGCTTATGAACAGTGCCTGGCACCTAGGAAGGACAAGAATGAAGTAAGCTGTCATTCATGTAGCATCATGATGATTATTAATATTTTACAAGGTGCCTATGCCAGAATGACTCCATTTGTATCTGCTGTTAAATCACAGGATTTTGTACATGTCTGCATGTAATCATCAAAACACAGATATGCATAGGGTTTCTAAGTAACTTCCACATTTTATTGATATTTCAAAAACTGATAGAACATAGAACCTTTGTAATTTGCAGAAGTTGTCTTTGTAAATCTGTTGCTATCTTGATTATTTTGTTACTGATATAATGGGGTCTGGGGGTGCTTAGATTTCAGAAGCAGAGAAAGACCTTCTTTTGAAGCAGTTGAGTAACAGAATACAGCTTCTAAATAAATTACGCCAGGAAGCTATGGATGTGGAAATGCAGATGGAAAAGCAAAGGCAAGATATTGCTGAGAAGCAGGAGGAGATCAAGGGTCTGCAGACCGCCCTGGACAGGCTGGATCCCAAAGACCCAAAGCACGTAAGTGAGCTGAGGCATCGTGCCTTGTTCTGTATGGGGGAGGGGAGGCAGCAAGTGTCTCATCGTGACTGCAAGCAGAATCGTTTTTGAAGGTCCCTTAGTTTGGTGCATGAATTTAGGGAGTGTGTGTACATTATATGTGTATATTATTATATGTGTGAATATACATCTACACACAAACATGTGCACATGCATGAGATTTGTGTGTAAAGGTAACCTGGACTTTGGATGCATTAGCTTTCAGTAAATGATGGCCACATGCTTCACCTATTACTTTTGAAGTGGTTGAGTTTCATTGTATTGCAGAACAAAAGAAACCGCCAAGAAACTTCATAGCCATTCTCCTTTCCTTGCCTCTGCCTCCTTTTTTTTTTTTTTTAAGATTTCTTTTCATTTATTTGGAAGGCAGAGTTATAGAGGGAAAAGGAGAATGAGAGAGAGAGAGAGAGCGCTTCCATCTTCTGGTTCACTATGCGAATGGCCACAGTCCCAGGCCTGGGCCAGTTTGATGTCAGGAGTTTCATCAGGATCTCCCAGGTGGGCAGGTGGGCAGAGGGGCCAAAGCACTTGGCCATCCTCTGTTGCTTTCTCAGACACATTAGCTGGAGCCGATTCACTCCCTAGATGGCCACAATGACCAGAGCTGAGCCAATCTGAAGCCAGGAGCCTCTTCCAGGTCTCCCATGCAAGTGCAGGATCCCAAGACTTTGGGCCGTCCTCAGCTGCTTTCCCAGGCCGCAAGCACGGAGCTGGATGGGAAGTGGAGCACAAACCTTTGCCCATATGGGATAATGGTGCTAGGAAGTGTAGTATTAGCTAGTAGAGCCATTGTGCAGACCCTCTTTCTATTTCTTCTTTAATCTCTTATGAAAATATGCACTAAGGCTATTTTTTAGTCTCTTGAAGAATGAACTCTTTCTAAGATGCAGTCAGAAGTGGTCAGGCCAAGATAAGAAAGAGGACTAGGCTCTTGGTTGTCTCTTCCTTGAGCAGTCTTTTCTAAGGGCTGTGTCTTAGCTTATATTTCTAAGATTAAAATACACTTCCTGCGTATTTTACTTGCATATTTTGTACCTGTGTATCCACAGAAATCATAGCATTGAATATGGTGGAGACAATGTACTATTGAGTGCTTTCAGTACTTGACAAGTAATTAATTATTCCTTTAAATATGTTAGTAAAATATGTGGGCCAGCTAATTTTAATAAAAGTGAACCTGACCATCATAGAGCCCAAGGCTTAATATTAAAAATGAGGGCCTAGCGTGGTAGCCTAGCAGCTGAAGTCCTCACCTTGCATGCGCCAGGATCCCAATGGGCTCCAGTTCTAATCCCAACAGTCCTGCTTCCCATCCAGCTCCCTGCTTGTGGCCTGGGAAAGCAGCTGAGGACGGCCCAAAGCCTTGGTACCCTGCACCCGCATGGCAGACCCAGAAGAGGCTCGAAGCTCCTGGCTTCTGGCTTCAGATTGGTGCAGCTCCAAACGTTTTGGCCACTTGGGGAGTGAATCATCGGATGGAATGATCTTCCTCTCTATCTCTCCTTTTCTCTGAATATCTGACTTTCCAATAAAAATAAATAATAAATCTTTTTTAAAAAATAAATAAAATTGAGTCCAAAAGTCATCTTAATTTTAAAAAAATTGTTACATGAAAAAGCAGATTTTACATAGGGTGAATGCCATGTGGTTATTCATATCTGACTTTAATGAATTTAAACCCTGTTTTTTTTAAAGATTTATTTATTTTTATTACAAAGTCAGATATACAGAGAGGAGGAGAGACAGAGAGGAAGATCTTCCTTCCGATGATTCACTCCCCAAGTGACCACAACGGCCGGTGCTGCGATCTGAAGCCAGGAGCCAGGAACCTCCTCCAGGAATCCCACGCGGGTGCAGGGTCCCAAGGCTTTGGGCCGTCCTCAACTGCCTTCCCAGGCCACAAGCAGGGAGCTGGATGGGAAGTGGAGCCTCTGGGATTAGAACCGGCGCACATATGGGATCCTGGCGTGTTTGAGGTGGGAACTTTAGCTGCTAGGCCACACTGCCAGACCCCAACCCTGTTTTTTTTAGAACCTTGTTTTACAAGCAAAAAGGAAACTTATATGTGTTTTCTGTGTTGAACCTCCCTCTAGCACAAACTGATTCTGACTGCCTTGAAAAACTCAGTCTCCATTCCTACATCTCATTTAGCTCCTGTAGACTACAAGTGTGAACTTTAGCAAAACAGAAGAATCTAGAAAGGGGTCCCGTGTGTTTTCTGAGAAATGTAGATAGGCTTTTAATTAATTTTATCGAATCAGATGAGGTTTCTTCTTGAAATGCTGTTAGAATCAGAAAGTAAAGGTGTGACTGATGATTGCTGATGGAAACAGTTGTGTTAAGTGCCACCTGAGCAGCCTGCATTGCAATGCTTGATTTTATTAAACATCCATATGGTATTGGCGATTGCTTTTTCCCCCTCAAGTGATTTGCTTGAACTCGTTCTTTTAGGAAGATGACTAGCCCTTGTTCAAGAAGTACAGTGATTTCACAAAAGAATGAAAAATCTATGAGATGATTAAAAAAAAAATTTACTCCAGAAGCAAGTCTAGTCAGGTTTTCAACGAATATAGCCATTTAACTAGGTTTGAATGGGAACGTTCTTTTGAAAAATCAAACCCCAGTTGAGTTGTAAATGCGTACACAGAGCCAAACATAACAGGGACGTGTGTTGCACTTCCCTCTGGGGAGAAGCCCCAGGAAAGCTCAAGCAACTGCTCTCCGCGGAGAGATGCGGAGTTTGGGCGTGATTGGCCCTCGAGCGCTTCCTGTGTTATGATTTAAAGCTCGGCGGGTGGGACCTGCCCGCCAAAGCTGCCGGTGATTGGGCGCGCTCGGCTGCCACTCGCTCTCCGCCGGGAATGGGGCTTGAGACCCCGCGGAATTGCAGAGGCTCCGAGGCGCTTGCAAAATGTGGCTGTCAGAGAGGGAAGCACACAGAACTTGAAGACAGCGTTAGGGAGCGTTCCGCCCACAGTTTCTCCTTTCTCAGCGGCTCAGTTATCGGGACAAATCCTAAGTTAAGGTATGGTCATTTTTCCTGTCGCTGTACAAAGGACTTAAAAGGAGGAGGAGTCAGAGATGTAAGTTCCTGTTTTACAATAACTTGTAAGTTTCATGTTAGTGAAAATCGTCGAATATACTTTCGCGCCCATGTGTTTGGTGCACGTCGTTGAACTCTTTCTCCTCCATATTGTAGATTTCAGTGGATTTTTTCCGATGAATTTTAAAGATATTGACAGATGAGTGCAGTCCTTTTTTAAAAATTGTTTCTTGAGCCATAAACCTCATCAGTTTACTTAGCACGTAAGCTGTTATCTGAAGTTGCTTTCGGAACGATTTCAGTTGCATATTTGGGAAGGGGAGGGAGAAGACGAATTTTGAAAATCCCATAAAGTTTCACTAGTAGTAAATGAAAAGCTTTCTAATCAAGCTGCCACTCAAAATGAAGAGACTCCCTGCTTGCATTAGGGGGAAGCAGACATAGTCGGATAACCCAGTGGCTCTCCGTTTGTGAGCCTTGATACCCTTTGCCCAGATGCTGCTCATTTCCTCCTCATTTGTGATTCAGTCCCTCTGGTGCAGGAGGGCGTCCTGGAGCCCCGAGGGGGCGAGAGGGCGGGCAGAGCTTCTGGGGAGGCACTTGTCTCCACGGAAACAGTTGCCTGGGCAGGTCTTTTGATGGATGTGAGATTCAGTTCTCAGGGGTCAGAGGAGGGGTAGCTTATATCTCTGAGGCGTGTTTCCCTTGGCACACCTGAGTTATGAGTGGCTGTGTAGGGGGTGACTGTCAGGGGTCTGAGGGTGTGGTGGCCTTTCTCCATCTGGAACCTCTGTGAGAGCAGGCGTGTGCCTCCCTGGGACTCTGCATCTGGAGACCGGTTTGTGGTACCTCTCAGTTTCCTGTTATATCAAATGTAAAAGCAACGGGTCAGTTTGTATCTAAAATTGAAAATAAATCTCAATTCCAAGTATATTTATTTATTTGTTTCCTGTTTTGCTTTTGAAAACAAATTTAACATTTTTTCAGGTTAAAAAGACGTTATTTTTCTACTATACAGGTGTTTTTAAGAAACAGTTTTTTGAATATGTAAATATTCAAAATACAACAGATATAACATCAGCAGATATAATTCTTGCTAAAATATGGATTGTTTTGGAATATGCTATTTAGATTTTTTGTTTCCCCATATGTCAATATAAGCAATTTTTTGGGAAAAGATTTAAGATATATTTTAATGCCGTGCAAATACTGAAATGACATATTACTTATTGGGTATACCCTTGTTTTTATTTTTTTTATTATTATTTTTATTTTTATTTTTTAATTATTTTTTTTTATTACGAGCCTCTGAGGAGGCTCAGCTTTTTTTTTTTAAGATTTATTTATTATTTATTGTAAAGTCATATATACAGAGAGGAGGAGAGACAGAGAGGAAGATCTTCCGTCCAATGACTCACTCCCCAAGTGAGTGCAACAGCCAACTGCTTTCCCAGGCCACAAGCAGGGAGCTGGATGGGAAGTGGAGCTGCCGGGATTAGAACCAGTGCCCATATGGGATCCCGGCGCGTTCAAAGCGAGGACTTAAGCCTCTAGGCCATGCCACCAGGCCCTGGGTATACCCTTGTAAACATTACTTATCCACTGTGCTCCTTCTTTTGATTTATTTGTTTTTACTGGAAAGGTAGTTTTTTTTTTGCCTATTAGTAACATTGCATTATGTGACACAGTTCTATGAAAGGTAGTTTTTTAAAACAAGATTTATTTATTTATTTTTATTGGAAAGTCAAATTTACAGAGAAGGAGACACAGAGAAGAAAGATCTTCGTCCACTGATTCACTCCCTAAGTGGCCGCAACGACCACAGCTAAGCTGATCCAAAGCCAGGAGCTTGTTCCAGGTCTCCCACATGGGTGCAGGGTGCCAAGGCTTTGGGCCATCCTCCACTGCTTTCCCAGGTCACAAGCAGGGAGCTGGATGGGAAGTGGAACAGTGGGTTTAGACCTGGCTCCACATGGGATGCTGGTAGTTGCACATGGAGGATTAGCCAATTGAGCCATCACCCAGGTCCAGAAATCTTAGTTTCTAATCTATAAAATGGAAACAATTCTTGCAAGTGCCCAGAGGCTAAGATGAAATGTGGAAATACAGGGCCTGACACAAAATATGTGCAGGTTATTACATTTTTAGGCTTTCTTTTAAAATGTTGCTTAAGATTATTTTAGGAAGAGTTCAATGAACTTGAGATTTTATTGTTGTTTTCCGTTTAGTCCCATATGAGGGCTCAGAAAAGGGGTAAAGAACAACAATTTGACATTATGAACAAGCAGTACAAACAACTTGAAAGCCGCTTGGATGAGATACTTTCTAGAATTGCCAAGGAGACCGAAGAGATAAAGGACCTGGAACAACAGCTCACTGAAGGTGAGTTTTAACTGTATTTGAGATAAATCAGTGTCAGTGTTAATACGTAAAGGTGAGGACTAGACGAGAGTAGTTAATACAGTTCACTGTTAGCACTACCATTTGGTAAGGAACTTCGCCATTTCCAAAAACGCTTAAAAAAATCAAACACATTGATTTGAGGCTTGTTTGTTTCCCTGATGCCTCATGAATAAGCTCATTCCATTCAAGTCAGTGGTTAACCATGACAAGCCGTGGCCTGTGGGTGTCTGCTGTGGCATCCAGCCCTTCCAGAACTGAGTCCATTGGCATCAGGGAGTTCTAACGAGGGTGTAGAAAGAATTTTAGGATCTGTTTTTGCAGTGCAGATTGAGTGGTGATGTTCCGGGCCGTCGTGGTGAGAGCCTGGGCTTCGGTTGTTGTGTTGCTGGTAGCAGCTTGGTCACTTTAGACAGGTTATTTCTGTCCGTTATTATCTGTTGGGGAACTAAATAATTCTCGTAAAATACCTGGCACATATGGGAATTGCCATGTATAAATATTTTTCAAGGCTTTAGGTTACTTGATTGTGTTGTCAATCTTGGATTAATCTTATATATTAAGTGGGTTTTTTTATTTAGCAGCAAGAAGTCGGTTTTGCTGAACATCCAAAATATTTATTTTCAATTATTTAAACATTTCCTATCACGAACCAGGCATTTTGTAAGCCCGTACCTCTAACGATATGCTGTTTATGTTGTATTTATTGCTTAATACTCCTATACTGCGGATAATAGAAAATGATCATTGTGTCTTGAAAAAGTAAACTAAGATAGTAGATAATTAAAAGCTTAAAGGTCTGCTAGCACACAGCCAAGGCAGTACTTACACATTCTTACACTTTTCCTGTTCTGTATAGGCCAAATAGCAGCTAATGAAGCCCTGAAGAAGGACTTGGAAGGTGTTATCAGTGGGTTGCAGGAATACCTGGGGGCTGTCAAAGGCCAGGCGACTCAGGCCCAAAAGGAGTGCAAGAAACTGCAGGATGAAAAAGAGGCTCTGATGCAGAGACTGACTCAAGTCGAGCAGGAGAGGGACCAACTGGAAATCGTTGCCATGGATGCAGAAAACATGAGGAAGGTACGTTGCTCTTCTGGCCTGCTCGCCTGAGCTGCAGCTGGAGAAGGTTGCCCTAATTCGGGTTGTTAAAGGGATCAGCAGGTAGGCTGCTGTGGGGGACAAGCAATATTAGCAGCTGTTTGACACTTTCTGTCTTTTAGAAGTTTGGATTTCTTTTTCTTTTACTGTGATGCATGGGAATCGTTTTTCCTTAACTAAGAAAAGGGAGGTTTTTTGCTGAGTCTCCATTACTGGAAGCTTATCGTTGTCAAATAACTCTAAAGAATATGAGGTTATAATTATGAATGCTGCATTAAATGCTAATATTGTTTGTGCAGCAAAATTAAGCACAGTATGAAAAAAATCAAGTACACTATGGCTCAGTGTGTTTTTCCTTAGTCCTGTTATTGCTTGATAATCTTATGTTATTTTACAGATAATAAGATAGTGTTGTAAAGTATGCCTTTCTGTGCCTGATTTGAGAATTTCACTTGCCCAGTTTTAGTTGTTTGACGAACTTTATCATACATGAGAACCATAGGTTTCTAGCCTCACATTAAGCATGGCTAACTCTAGAAATGTAAATTAATATGTTTGAATAGGAGGAAATTTCTCAAGCATATAAAAAGTATCAAAAATACGCTTGAAGGGATGTGGTTAGGATGGTACTCAGAACAACTGTCTCTGGTGTCAGATGGCCTCGGTTGGAGTCCCAGCTCCACTTCCAATTCCAGCTTCCTGTTGGTGCACACCTTGCGAGGCTCAAGGGCTTAAGTCTCAACAGCCTGTGTTGGAGACCCATGGAGTGTTCTGGCTCCAGGTTTCAGCCTGGCCAGGCCCTGGCTGTTGTGGCATTGAGGCGGAGAATCAGTGGGTGAAAGAAAGATCTTTCCGTATTTTTTTAAAAAAGAAATATTTTTCGGGCCTGGCGCTATGGCGCAGTGGTTAAGGTCCTCGCCTTCAACGCCCGGGATCCCATATGGGCACCGGTTCTATCCTGGCAGCCCCGCTTCCCATCCAGCTCCCTGCCTGTGGCCCGGGAAAGCAGTCAAGGACGACCCAAAGCTTTGGGACCCTGCACCCACGTGGGAGACCCGGAAGAGGCTCCTGGCTTCGGATCAGCATAGCATCGACCCTTGTGCTCACTTGGGGAGTGAATCATCGGACAAAAGATCTTCCTCTCGGTCTCTCCTCTCTGAATATCCGCCTTTCCAATAAAAAGATAAAATAAATCTTAAAAAAATAATAATAATATAAAAAAATATATTTTTGAGAATACATATTTGACATCATGTTACAGCTCCAGCTTAAGAAATGAAGCGCTGCTAATGCATGCCCCCAGAACACACAGAATTCTGAATGTGCCTCTTCTTTCATTGCTTGTGTAATTGTCAGGAAGCAGCCTATGGTATCATCTTCCATGATTTTAAGACTTTTTTATGTTAGATATCACAGTATACATATTCTTTGGCTGCTTCCTTTATTCCCTCACATTTTCTGTAGCTTTACTTAATTCTATTGATGTATAACATCCTATTGTATGTATATACCACACGTTGATCACTTACTCAGTTTTCTTTTGGGCATTTAAGTGGTGCCCAGGCTTTGCCAGCATCACCAGTGCTAAGCCTGACATTCTCATACACCCCTTGAATATGAGGGCTTAGGGTCAGAGTTCAAGTGTGAGTCAGAGGATATGCTCTAATTAACTTCACTATATGTTGTTCAATTAACGTCCCTAGGGATACTAATGGTATGTATGTCCTCCAGGATTGAAAATACTACCATTCTACCGCAACCTAGCCAAAACCTTGGTGTCGGCCAACCTTTTTATAAGCTTTTATTTTCAAATAATTTCAAACTTCAGAAGAGAGTTGCAAGAATGTTATGGGTAACCATATTTACTGTTGGAGTTGACGGTTAATATTTTGCCACATTTGCTTTATCTCCCCGAAATTACAGTTTCCATATGATTTTGTATGCATTGAGTGACTTTTTTCCTGAGTTATCGAAGAATTAGGAGTATCGTTGTAGATACTCCTGCTCCTGTGCCCTCAATATTGAGCTATGTGATTACCTAAGAGCAAGAAGATTTTCTAATGTCAACACAGAAAAATTATTAATTTCAGGAAATTAATGTTTCATCACATTTTGTGTTTGCCAATCTGTCAAGTTTTAAGTGGAATCTTTTTTCTCATCTTTCTGGTATGAATAAGAAAATTGAAAGAATAGTTGATTAAATGTGAGCCCTTACATTTAATAAATATTATGTTGTATTTCTCTCTCTTTATAAATACCTATTTTTCCATTCCACATTAGAAAGTTATACACAAAATATCAACCCTTTCTCACACTGATGTTTTCCTGCATGGCTGCAGGAGTGTTACTGCATCCAGGACAATTCCCTGTAATTCCCTGGTGTCATCTACTCTCCAGCCCGTGTTCGAGGGTGATGTAGTTTTATAAATCCGTAGATTTTCTCACTTTCTGGATTTGCCTGATTGTTTATTCAGGATTTGTTAATTTGCTCCTCTGTATTCTCTAAAAGAATTTTATTTTTAACTAAATTTCCTCCTAGTTACTGGAGAGTGGCTGGGCACCTTTCATTTACCAGTCAGATTTTTTCTTCAGCAAATTTGTTGATTTTTTTTTGCCTATTTTTCTGTTGGATCCTCTCTCTTATGATTTTGGGGAATTTTTCTGTGTTCTGGATGTGAATTCTTTGTTGGTTATGTGTGGTGTCTGCATTCCAGATAAGTAGCCCGGATGGTTCAGGTAGGTCTCCAGACCACACGTTGAGAAGCTCCTCTATGGAAGTTCTTTTTGTAGGACCCACTTCTTTAATCTGGGAGAGTTTGAATCCATTCTTTTAAGATCCCAGATAAATGGGTGAAAGCTTTAATGTTTAATCATAAAAAGCGGAATGGACTAAAAGGAATTGGAACTATGGTATGCTGATTGAATGTGCTGAGAGTCTTGTTGGTGCTATTTTGAGTTGCTTTATCATCTGTGATATTACACAGCTCTAGTCCCATGTGTTCCATAGATGGGGAACATACTGTGTGGCTGAATGGAAGACTGGGTTTGCTGTCAGGCATCTGGATTCATGACCCCTTAACTACTCAGGCGTGCGCAACTTACTTAAGCGCTTGTTCTCGAGTTTCTTGTAAAACTCATTCTTCAGTTTCTCACTTGTAAAACTCTGAAAGTAACACAGTAATTACAGACACAATGATATGATGCATGTGAAACCATCTAGTTCAACATCTGAAGGAAAATAAGCCTGGAATTTAACCCTTCTCTGTTTTTCCTTCCTACCTTGCTTCTTAAGTTTTCAGTCTCTTGGAGTATTATCATAACTGGTTGGGAAAGCCATATGTTGCGGCTTACTTACTTTGCTGATTACATGCAGTCAGGATTCTGTGTGCCAGCTTGGCTGTGCACAGCATGAGGCTCCATGATACTGCGCTTGGAACTGTTCTGTGCCAGGCGGCAGTGGCTGCGTACAGCGCTCGTGTTACTAGTAATGATTTCCAGATGCTCAGGCAGGACGGTGAGGGCTGCGTGGCTAACCATGCTGGATCTTTGCAGGAGCTTGCGGAGCTAGAAAATGCCCTGCAGGAGCAGCACGAGGTGAATGCCTCATTGCAACAGACCCAAGGAGACCTCAGCGCCTACGAAGTGGAACTGGAGACTCAGCTGAAAATCCGGGATGCTGAAGCCAGCCGGCTCAGAGAGGAGCTGGAGGAGCTCACACGGCTTACCCAGGTGAGTAGGGACTCAGCAGCCTGGCCCAAAGGTACCATCCTGCCTTGATTTTACTGCCTTGATCTTACTGTAAGATGAACACTTCTTAATGTAATGCACACAGAGTGAATGGAGTGAGGCACTGCAAGTTCAAATGCTAGCTGTGTGCACTGGGCGAAGGACCTCATGGCTTTGAGGCTCCTACCTTTTCTTCCTGTGTAGAATGCTTTAAGTGAAAGGAAGTAAGATAATGACCTCAAAGGCACCTGGCTGTTGATAGTCAATAAATTCTAATTTTTCTTTCTCAAAATAGCTTAAAGAGATCTTTCTTCATTTGATGTTAAATTTTAGTTTGCTGGGGTCAGCATGGTGGCATAGCAGCTTGAGCTGCCACTTGGAACACTAGAATACTACATCTTGAGTGGTGGTGCCAGTCCATTCTTACTCTCTGCTAATGTGCCTCGGTAGGCATCATTGATGGCCTTAGTACTGGACCCTGCCACTCGTTGGGGAGACCCAGATGGAGTTCCAGGTTCTTGACTTCAGCCTGGAGCAGCCCCAGCTGTTAGAACCATTTGATGAGCGAACCAGTAAAGAGAAGATCTTCTCTCTGTGTGTGTCCCCTTCCGTCTGTCTCTGTCATTCTGCCTTTCAAATAAATAAATCTGAAAAAAAAATTTTAGTTTGTTTCCTGTTATGATTACTTAAAAGAATCAGTAGTTTATTCGTGCCAATTAGAGGAGACACTATTCATCCAATAAATTCTTACTGCTGGTTGGCTGTGAGGCACAGGGGCTGCGGATGCTCAGGGAATAGCATTGATGTGGTCACTGATACCATGTAGTGTCGTTGCAGTGTTCTAGGGGTGAAAGGAATGGGAGAGAAAGAAAAGGACAGTGTTGCATGGCAGAGAATAGGATGGCCAGGGAAGCCCACGCTGGGTCAGTGACATTCCAGCTGCAGCTTGAGGGATGGGTAGGCCCTGGCCATGCAGAGTGGGGAGGAGGCAACAGGCCTGGCAAGGGGTGCGGGTTACAGCCAAAGGAGTGAGTGGTAAGTGAGAGAGAGAAAGCAAGAGTAAGAGCAGCAGCAACAAGACGAGAAATAAAGGTGGAAAGGCAGGCAGAAGTCAGTGGTATTATATTCTGTATCAGAATGAAATTCATGCACTTGAAGCTCGTACATCATTCTTTGGAATTGTATTCTTTCATTTTTCTGTCATAGTTTTGACTGAAAAAAAAATAAGTTTGACCACAAAAAAAAAAGAAGAAGAACAGAAGCTTTTGTAACAGCCTAGCCTTTTCATCGATTCGCTTGCCCCACTCCAAGGACAGCCGGGAGTGGTTTTCAAACCCCAAATTGAGATATTTTATGGAATTAGATCTTCTCCCTCTGGTCTACAAATCTAAAGATTGCTGATGGATAAAAGTCAGTTACGTCATATCCCCACCCGGCAGCTTCTGAGCCATCAAGTCTGACGTGGAGTCTAGGCACCTGCATTTTTAGCAAGCACACCAACTTTAATATAGGCATTTTTGGAGCACAGCTTAAGAAATACTAGCCTAAGTGAAGGCAGAAAAACAATTGTAGATGCTTGGGGCCCGGCGTGGTAACCTAGTGGCTAAAGTCCTCGCCTTGAATGCACCAGGATCCCATGTGGACACCGGTTCTAATCCAGAGGCTCCACTTCCCATCCAGCTTGCTCGTTGTAGTCTGAGAAAGCAGTCGAGGACAGCCCAAAGCCGTGGGACCCTGCACCCACGTGGGAAACCTGGAGGAGGTTCCTAGCTCCTGGCTTAGGATTGGCGCAGCACTGGCCATTGTGGCCACTGGGGAGTGAATCATCAGATGGAAGATCTTTCTTTCTGTCTCTCCTCCTCTCTGTATATCTGACTTTGCAATGAAAATAGAATAAATCTTTAAAAAAAAAAAAAGAAACAAGCAAACACACACACAAAAATAGATGTTTGTCAGGTAGGGGTGGTTCACAGCACGTCAAGCTACCCGTTAGTGTGTCCCACATCCAGTCACTGCGTGCCTGAAACTTGATCCTATCTTCTGATACACTGGGATGCAGTAGATGATGGCTCAAGTATTCGGGTTCCTACCACTCACAGTGAGACACCCAGATGTTTCCTGGTTTTGGCCTGACCCAGTCTTGCCTGTTGTGGGTATATGGGGAGTGAATGAGTGGATAGAGTCTCTCTCCTTTCTCTGTCTGCAAGTCTGTATATGTATGATGTATGCTTGGTGGTATTTTCATCTTGTGCATCTTGGCTGAGCTCATTCTGATGTTTGCTCTTCTTAAGGATGTTTGGCTTAAAGTGTGTATTAAAGGGTTGCCTTAAATTTTTAAATTTGTAAGTACAACATGAAACTGGTGGGATTATATATGTATGGATGGATTTATGCCTTTTTAAATCATAAATTGTTGCTATTTATACTTCCTATCATTGCTTCCTATGGTGACAGTTAGAACAATCAGCCCTTCAGGAGGAACTTGAGCAGGAAAAGCAAGCCCTCAAGGATGCTCTCGGAACAGCCCAGTTCTCAAAGGAAAAGGAGCAGGAGAACAGTGAGCTCCGCGCCAAGCTCCAGCAGCTCCAGGTACAGGCTTGTTTTTACAGAATACATCCCTGCGTATGACGACCAGAGGAGCTCTCTGTAGTCAGCACTTAAGCTGCTCTAACACATTGTAAGCTGCTTAAATTATCTGAAGGGTTATCTATCAGGTTAGGGCAGTGCTGTAGCCCTGATGCCCTGGATGTGGCTTTAAGATTAGTGTGTGGCCGTCTTTTGTGTTGTGAGGGTGCAGAGATGAACACAGTGTCTGTTTGAACAGTCTGCTCTGTAAACTTTTGGGCAGAAGCAAAAGCCTGCATTTTTCCTACAAGCAGATTTGTTACTGGGCTACGATAAAACCATCAGTTGGGTACAGGCTTCTTTCACTGAAGTGTCTTAGGAGTTTGCCAGAATTTAAACAAAGTGAATGGCAATGAGCTTTCTTACTGGTAAACTATTTTCACAATCCCTTTCTCAGAAAGGATTCTATTAAAAGTGCAGTTGTTTTATATTTGTGGTATGAATGACAGTCTTTCACATAATAACCTGCCTAATAGATTGGGCGAAGCAGGTAGATAGGATTTTCCAGATAATTAAACTCTCTCAAAGAGGACAGCTGTCTGAGCCAGCAAGCCCCTGAATCAACACTCAGCTCACCAGGTCTGCCAGGGCAGGGGCCCCTTGGCTCGCTGGGCTGGCAGCTGATGTCACCGGAAGGAAAAGAGCCGAATTTAGGGGACTCAGGGGAGGCATCCCGGAAACCACACGAGTGGATTTGTGACACTCCGATTTTTTCTTCTTCCAATTCCTCAAATTTTTTTTTTTCTCAAAGTTGAAGTGGAGTAATGAATTTGTTATTGCTATTAGTTCAGTTCAGCTTCCAAGCCAAGTATCATAAAGATTTCTACATCTGCCATTCTTGGCTGAGTTGTACACATGTTTTGGGTCTCTACTAGGTTGCTTTTTACTTTATATAATTGAAATTTTCAAATGATCACAAATGAGACAATAGCCATAGAATCCTTTATTTAGCCATCACCCAGGCCAAACAGTCAACAGCATTTATTGTTTTATTTAATCCACCTTTTTTGCTGAAATATTTTAAAATTTTATGCACATTTTAGTTCATCCATTAATATGTCAGTATGTATCTCTTACCAGAAAAGAATTGAATAAGGTCTTCAGGGACTTTCTCCTCCAAGGCAAAGGCTGAACTCAGCCTTCTGAATACGGCCCGTTCTGAAGGCCTGCTGTCGTTAGAACTAGTCCTTTGGTTACTTGGCCTAGTAACCTCCTGGTTTGTGTAACTGAAAGCCACTCTACATTTGTTTTCTTAGAAATCATTTAGTGGCAATGAATCCAAACCTACTTACATTGCCCAAGAAAGAAAACAGTTTGCTAGGAACCAGAACCATTCTCTCCTCTTTCCCTGGACAATGTGTTTGGTTCAGTATGGGCCCAGCCCCAAACTGACATCTTTCAGGTCAGCACTTGTAAAACTTGCTGTGATGAATATTAGTTCCAGTTATGGGGAAGATGACAACCCATTTTTTGTCTGGCTAGTGGATTGGATGCTCTTGGGTCAGATGGCCTGTATCCAGGATGAGGTTTTATGGTAAACCCCCTTATCCACAGGGATATGTTTCAGGATATTTTGTGGATCCTGAAACACAAATAGTACTTGAATTCCTTATAAATCATTTTTTCTTATGCACTCATAGCTATGGTATGGTTTAATTTATGACTTAGGTACAATAAGAGATTAAAAACAGCAACAGTGATATGCTATAATAAGTTATTTAAAATTTATGTTTATTTCTGGAATTTTCCATTTAATATTTTCAGACTAGAGTTGGTCACAGGTCCCTGAAACCATGGAGTCACAGATAAAGGGGGAAATGAATGTAGTGTAGATAGCTGCTTTAGGGCAATGAGCAGGGCCAGCTAATAGACAAGAGGACTCCAAATGGAATAGGCAATCAAAGCAAGTTCATTCTAAATTCTATTTTAGTTAACACCAAGTTTGATAGGTTAATCACTCAGTAGATTGTAAGCGTTCGGAGAATACGGTCAACTTAGAATTTATAAAGCTTTTGTCTATAATTTGAGGAAACTTTCTTTTTAAGTAAAAAGAGGCATTGTTTGAATTTAATTCCACAGTCTGGATGTAATCATTAGTTTGTCAGTGAAAATATGATGGTGTATAACATATTCTCCCATCTTCCCCTTCTTCATAGGATGACAATAACTTGTTAAAACAGCAGCTTACAGAGTTCCAAAATCACCTTAACTGCGTGGTTGATGGCTTGATTCGCCCAGAAGAAGTGGCTGCTCGTGTGGACGAGCTAAGGAGAAAACTGAGATTAGGAGCTGGTGAGATGAGGTAAGGGGAAATAAAGACCTGCAGGTGTACGATGACCTCACACCTCCAAGCTGTGGGGGAGATCCGGGGCGAGCTCACCTTTCTGAACTCTGCCAACATTGGATTCCTTCTGGACAGTTCTCCTTAGGATGTTTCATGCCTGAGACTCAAGATTGAAGTTTTAAGTAGAGAACAAATACCAAGAAACCCAGAGATTATTGCACTCATGTGAAGTGGACATGTAATCAGACATTGCTCTCCTGACGCGAGCTGACATTTTCAGGTGGCCATGGGTTGTCTAGCTGGCATTTTCAAATTGCTGCGGTTGTGCCTCCACACAGCTCTTTTTTCTTTTGCACTAATGTTAACTGCATGTTTACGGCCAGCATTACAAATAAAATAAACACATCTGTATTGTCTCTCTCTCTCGCTCTCTCTTTTTTTTTTCCTGACCAGAATCAATAGTCCTTCAGATGTCTTAGGAAAAAGTCTGGCTGGTTTACAAAAACAGTTGAGTGAAATCCTTGTGCGATCCCAGTGGGAAAGGGAGGAAGCACAAGTGAGGGAGAAGCGCCTGCAGGAGGAGATGGCTCTGCAGCAGGAGAAACTAGCGAGCGGCCAGGAGGAATTCCGGCAGGCCTGCGAGAGAGCCCTGGAGGCCAGGGTAAGGACGGGCGGGAGCAGTCGGCTGGCAGTGCTTGGCAAATTATAACGCCACCTTTCTCATAAATGCAGAGTAATTGTTATTTTTACTCAGAACAAGTTAAGCCATGGGGAGTGGCTAAAATTCCATCTAGAAAATGGTTTCTGGCTTGTTTGTGGAGCTGTTTTCCTTGTTTTGGAAGCAAATGAGAGATATTTTATAAGGGCAAGTAAATAATGCTACATCGCTTACATGCAGTATGGGGCCAGAATATGACTTTTATTTTCTTGATGATATTGATGGTGAGACCAATGTTTATATACTATAGAGAGCATTGAAGAATACAGAACATCACCAGGAGAAAATTTCATTATACTTTGTAGTAAAATGAAAGATAATTCTACAGAAATCTTCCTTAAAACTTGATTTCCTTACAGATTAAATTTGATAAGAGGCAACATGATGCAAGAATCCAACAGCTGGAGAATGAAATCCGCTACTTGCAGGAAAATCTCAAAAGTATGGAGGAGATCCAAGGCCTAACAGATCTCCAACTTCAAGAAGCTGATGATGAAAAGGAAAGAATTCTGGCCCAACTTCAAGAATTAGAGAAAAAGGTGAGGCCAGACTAGGACAGTGAGCCACCTAAGTAACTGCTGATCAAGTTCTGTTCTCTGGCGATCAGATCAGCTGAAGAGGGAGATTTATTTATTTGAAAGGTAGAGTTAGAGAGTTAGAGATTGATTTTTCATCTCCTGTTCACTCACCAAATGGCTGCAATGGCTGAGTCCAACCGAAGCCAGGAGCAAGTAGCATCCTCCAGGTCTCTCACATGGGTTCAGGGACTCAAGTACTTGAGCCAGTCTTTGCTGCTTTCCAAAGTACATTAATGGAGCAAGCTGGATCAGAAGTGGAGATGGCAGGCCCTGAGCCAGCTTTACGTGCTATGCTGCAGCACTGGCCCCGTCATCCTTCTCTGGGTGGCCTTTCTCCAGCCAGCTTCAGGTATCTGCTCCAGTTGTCCATCCTGGATTCTAGCATGTGCACAGGCTGTACCCACTACCTCCAGAATCACAACTAAATGTCTACTCTGGCTAACATCCATGTTCCAACAAGCTTTTCAACCCTCTTGAGCTTCCAGTATGTTAGCCCCACCTTTTCTATCGTTAAGCCCTCTCTGACCTGACTGTCCTCTTTGTCCAACCTAAGTTCCATGGCCTGCCATTGTAGTCACTTGTCCCAGATACCTTCAACTCCTGCCCTTTTCTCCTGACCTACTCTCTGACAAAATTGTAGCTCTCTGCCTTTCTTGGGCTTGTACCTGGACCAAGTATTCCTGGAGGGACAAAGTCACCGATTCAGTCTGTGCTTTACTACTTTAAATTCATGCTGCCCAGCCTTACATAAGGAACATGGCTTTGCTCTCCCTGCTCACCCCTGTTTTCTGACCCCTCGCACCTGCCGTATCCTCATAGCCCTGGAGGATGACTTGCTTCCTACTTCACCAGGAACCCACCAACTGCCAAGTCCTGTTGAGTCTGCCTCCAAAATATGCATACTTTTTCCTTCTCTGCCAGCCTCTGTTCTGAGCAATGCTTGTGGCCATCTGACAAGACCCTGGCCACAGAACAGCCCAGGTACTTGTTGAAAAGTGGGTTGGCTGTAGTAAGCCCCCTTATCCCCAGATTTTCCATCAGTCTTAGAAAAAGGACACAGATTCTTCAACCTGTACATCCTCTGTGCTTTGCCTCCATTTTGGTCCATCCTTTTCTTGAAAAAAAAAAAAAAAAAGATTTATTTGAAAGGCAGTTACAGAAGGAGAAGGATCTTCCATCTCCTGTTTATTCAAGTGGCCACAGCTGCCAGGGCTGGAGTAGGCCAAAACCAGGAACCAGGCAGGTCCTCCAGATCTCCCTGTTGGGTACAGATGCCCAAGCACTTGGGCCATCCTTGCTGCTTTCCCAGGCTCATTCGCAAGGAACTGAATCAGAAGTAGAGCAGCCAGGACTTGAACCTGGACACACATGGGATGCTTCCCAGCAGCTTCCTTAGCATACTGCTCCACAGCACCGGCCCCGGTCCATCCTTTTCTCACTGTGCTCCTTTTAAAAAGGTTCCTCAAAAATGACTGTTCTGTTCTTCACCGCCACACTCCCAGGACCTCATTCAGCAGTTTCAAACGTTGGGCCATCGATTTCATAGTGATGGTGCCAAGAAATACTTTTCCAAGGAATGAATAAGTAAATTAATTAATGAATTAATGATCCCTTGGATTCTTGACTAGGAAGACTGATTGGAAGATTTTTCTCAGTTTTGAGGTTGTTTATTTATCTGTTAGATATTTATGCCATGCCGTTGTAAACCAGGTGAAGTTCTAGACATAAGGCGTACAGCATTGAATAGTCCCCACTCTCCGGGAGTTTACCGTAATTAGTTGCTATCAAAGCTTTCATCTATTCATTAATACTGCTTTTCTTTTTAGAAGAAACTTGAAGATGCCAAGTCACAGGAGCAGTTATTTGGTTTAAATAAAGAACTAAAGAAATTAAAGAAAGCTGTTGCTGCCTCTGATAAGCTAGCCGCAGCCGAGCTCACCATTGCCAAAGACCAGCTGAAGTCCCTGCATGGGACAGTTATGAAAATCAACCAGGAGCGAGCAGAGGTAATTCCACATGTGTAGAACAAATCTCCGTAAGTGTCGCTCATGTCCAAAAGCAACCACTTGTGTTTACTGATTCCTTGTTATAGATTGTAGCTATTTTATAGACCACTGAAGTTGTCTGGGTTAAGACCTAAGGACTGTATTTTTCCCAGCACAGCCCTCAAAATTGTATTTTGTGCCGCCATGGCCTGCACTCTGTTGATTGCTAGAAGAAACCATCAGATGTCATCTACCGTCCATACCTGAATGTGTAGGGCTCTGCTTCCGGTAGCTGTCAGTGTGTGCCTGGACCAGGGCTTTGACTAAACCCTGTGGAATGTCACATTTCTCATCCCCTGTGGTCATCTGAAAGTATCTTACCTCACGGGGCTGTGAGGATGCCTGACAGAGTTTCTGTTCTGGTGCTTTGTAAGCTGCAAATGCCAGTGAGGCTAAGATAGTAAAGCAAAGGAGAAAGAAACTTGATGAGAGCTAGAGAAAAGATAATCATTGGAGACGATAAAAGAATCTAGAAAAAGATAGCCCCTGTCCTTTCTGATGCAGTACCCCCTGCCCATTTGGCCGCTGATGGGATGGGCAGGCTGTGCTGGGAACACCACACAGAAAGGTGGGGCTTGGCACCACAAATGCTTGGACTCGCTAACAGGCAGGGCGCTGGAGCATTAAGTGGAGAGGAAAGCGGAGTGAAGACGACGCTCGTGGCAGCGCTGGTGCTCTTCCCGTCATCCCTCTGTCCCCACAGGAGCTGCAGGAGGCAGAGAGGTTCAGCCGCCAGGCAGCGCGAGCGGCCCAGGACCTGAGCCGAGCAGAGGCCGAGATCGAGCTCCTGCAGAGCCTTCTCAGGGAGAAAGAGGAGCAGGTCGGTACTGGGCCCTGGGGCTGCCTCCTCCCGGGAGACCACATGGCCTCATTCCTGCATCCTCAGAGGCTTCTGAAGTGTGCACTCAGTAGGCCGGCAGTGCCTCCTTCCCTGCTGTGTCCCAGGGGGAGTGTAGTTTAAATGTGAGCAGTAATTTCCGTGCTGGGAAAGTATAAGTAAAAGGTACAGAGTCATAATCAAGTTGCAAGGCTGACTGCATCTGGCAAAATTATCTTACTGGAAACTTGGTGTTGTTTCTCAACAGTTTCGAACCGACAACAAAGCAAATGTAGATGCTGGAGTAGCAGACGCGGCTGGAGTAGCAGACGCACAGGTGCTGGAAATTGAGAAGCTGCAGGAGACAATGGAGAGACAAAGGACCGAGATCGCGCGGCTGCGGCGCTTAGTCAGCCTCCCCAGGCCTGGTACAGTATCGGCTTCGGTCTTCACTGTCACTTTGTAACTCTGAAATCACCTCATCTGTCTTTTACTCTGAGAAAATGTATTCACATTGTGTATCAACTTCTTAAGTAAAATCAAAGAATTTAATTCTGTTTACAAATCATTTATTAGCTTTTCCTAACTTTGTAATTGGAAGGCAGAAGGATGTGCCTGACCTCTCGGTGTCGGCAAAGGGCAGGCAGCAACTCACCTTTGAGGATCCGATAAAACTCATTGACCAAACAGATTTTCACACCAACTTCCTTCCACAGACAACAAAGGGGACATTGAAAGTGTGTTAGAAGAAATTGCTGAACTCCGCCGTGAAGTCTCCTATCAGAATGACTACATCAGCAGCATGGGAGACCCTTTCAAAAGACGAGGCTATTGGTATTTTATGCCACCACCACCGTCATCAAAGGTAGAGATTCTGTGATACTGGCAGCACAGGCCGAGTTTACTGGAGGAAAGGGTGTGGCATTGTCCCTTTCTGCAAAGTTGTGAGCAGGGATCAACAGCAGCATGTGTAAGCTGAGCCATGCCCTAAGGTTCTTCAGTGGTTTGGGTTTTTCTTTTTTTGAAAGTCAGATATTCAGAGGCGGGGGAGAGACAGAAAGGAAGCTCTTCCATCAGTTGACTCACTCCCCAAATGGCCGCAGTGGCCAGAGCTGAGCCAATCTAAAGCCAGGAGCCTGGAGCCTCTTCTGGATCTTCCATACGGGTGCATGGTACAAAGACTTTGGGCCATCCTTGACTGCTTTCCCAGGCCACAAGCAGGGAGCTGGATGGGAAGTGGGGCTGCTGGGACACAAACCAGCACCCATATGGGATCCTGGCACATGCAAGGCGAGGACTTTAGCTGCTAGGCTACCGCTCAGGGCCCTCTTTAGTGTTTTTAATATCTGAGATGAGTATAGAGCTTGCCGAGGGACAGTGGCAGTATTCAGGTGGTCCATTGTGGAGTCCATGAGTGAAGACGCTGTGACGGGATAATGTGACTTGGGCCAGGGAGCCTGTTGGAAATGGATATAGATGGACCTCTCCAGAGACTCAGAAGAATAGGTGTGTGCATTACTGTTCCTTCTTTATCATTTGTGATTTATTGCAGGGGGGATGCTCATCCTGTCCCCTGGATCACTTCTCAGGTGTCAGATGAGGGAGAGGAGGGGGACAGAGGGAATCAGCACCCCATCAACTGGGCCACTCTCCAAATGCCCACACCTAGGGCTGGGCCATGGATGAAGCAGTGATCCAGAGACTCAGGCCCAGCCTCCCGCCAGGCTGGCAGGAACCAGTTATTGGAGCCATCACTGCTGCCTACTGGGTTTGCGTAAGCAGGAAGCTGGAGTCAGGAACTGGAGCCAGGGATTGAACCCAGGTGCTCCATTGGGAGACAGGCATTTTAACTTAAGCAGCAGGTAAAGGCTCGGTCCTTCATTGTAACATTCATTTAGGCCTTGCTGAAGTCAAATGCTAGGTGCTGGTGGGGTCCCAGGATAATGAAACAAGCCCTGCTCTCAGCGAGTCCATGCCAGTGTGACTACAGAACAGTGACAGGTATGTTCCAGCACACTTGACCTGTGTGCTCTATTTCAGAGCTCTTGTGGCTTCAGCTCATGGGAAGCTAAGGAAGGCAGGCTACACAAGCAGGATTATAAAGCTGGCACCTGGCACGTAGTGGGGGGTGGGCCTTCAGGAGAAAGATGTGGCTCATGTCAGAGTTCATTTTGCTATAGCAAGTGTCCTTGTGTGCTGTAGGACCTGATGGGTACAGTGAAACATGCAGTTGGGAAAGTGGATTGGGGTCATGCTTTTTTTAAAAAGGTGGCCTCAGAGTCCATTGCACTTATTTGTAGGCTGTGAGAAACTAGGGTTCCTGTGATGCCCAACTCCAGGAAGGTGTTCTGGCTGAGCATGGATTCTGGCCTTATGATTGCGTGTGCTTTGCCAGAACTCAGCGAGTGAAGGGTGGAAGAATCCAGAGCTAGATCCAAGGAGCCAGGAAAGGAGACGTGGGGTTTCAGGATGTTAAGTAGACAGCGCGATCGAGATGCCTCAGTGTGGGCGTGAGGAAGTGGCCAGTGTGCTCACCTGGAGCACGGGAGCTGAGTGACACCCTGCCGGATCCAGCTGGCGAGCCGTGGTTGGGGAGAAGCAGGGATCGGGACTGGGGAAGTAACCGGAGCTGCTCCTCCCAAAAATCTAAAGGAAGCCGGCAGCCCAGGTACAGCCGGGTTGGAGGAGCTGGGCAGGTTCAGTTAAAGGGAAGGGTTGTGAGCATGGGCTGGGTGAGGGCTTGGAGGATAGTCGCATTCTGAGAAAGGCAGGATGGAAAAGATGGGCTTTACAAGCCTGCCAGGCCACCAGGTCAGCAGATAGTGTCACCAGATCCCCTTGGAAGTTCACTGGTTTCCTTTGCCTCAGCTGCTGGGCAGTAAAGGACAAGGGGAAAGAAGCCACCTGGGATGTGATGGTTGTGAAATTGGAAGTGTTCAATTGATGTTGCGTTTACCACTCTTCTAGTCCTTCACTTTCTAAAGATTTATTTTACTTGAAAGTCAGAGTTACAGAGGGAGGAGAGGGGATAGAAAAATCTTCCATCCACTGGTTCACTCCCCAGATCGCTGCTGGGTCAGTCTGAAGCTTGGAACCAGGAACCTCTTCTGGGTCTCCTCTGTGCTTTGGGCCGTCCTCCGCTGCTTTTGCAAGCCACAAGCATGGAGCTGGAAGGGAAGCGGAGCAGCTGGGCCTAGAACCAGTGCTCATGTTGGATGTCACCACTGCAAATGAAGGATTAGCTTACTAAACCACCTCACTAGCAGATCCCAGCAGAACTCTGCGTGGCTTCCATGGCATTTTCATGTTGATCATATCCAAACTGTACAGTGTTTATGGAACTATACCTAATATGGCCATGTAATCATGTCGCACTTGTGCCTGTGAGAAATGAGACTTAGATGAATATAACCCAAGTTCTCTGTGTGCTCTGCCCTGCATGTTGGTGTTCTCAGAATCAGCCTTGCATCTGTAACATAGTGTGTTGTGCTGTCATTTATTTTAGATTTCCAGCCATAGTTCCCAGGCTACCAAAGACTCTGGTGTGGGCCTCAAATACACAGCCTCTACTCCCATTAGAAAACCACACCCTGGGCAGCAGGATGGAAAGGAAGGTGGTGGGCTTCCACCTGCCTCAGGATACTGGGTCTACTCTCCCATCAGGAATGGACTGTTTAGGTCATCTTTAAATAGAGGTGAGAACTTGTTTAATGACCTTTATAAGGGTCCCTGAAATCCATAATACATAGTCAAAACTCCTTCACGTGCTCTGCCGAGCCCTGTGTTCTGACCTTGTGTAGCAACCTCTTTGTACCCCCACTGCACTCCCACTCCCCACCTGACTGCTTAGTATACCTGCCTGCTTCAAGCTTTTTTGTTGTTTTTTTGTTTGTTTGTTTTTGACTATTCTTTCTCCTTCCTCTTCCAAACCAGTTCCTACTTGTCATTCAGTAAGACCCTGGGCCTCAAGCAACACTCCTTTTCATGAGTCTTCCTCAACCGTGCTCCCCAAAGCCCCCTCAGCAGACCCTGCCTATGGCCCTGGAGTGGGAATGTGGGACCTTCGTGCTTTTGTCACGGCCTTCATCCGGCTCCTCCTCAGTGAAGTGAAGCTCTGTCTCCTGTGGCTCCAGGAGGGAAGACTCGGAGCTGTGCAAGCCCCAGCTCTTGCACAGAGCACCTAGCGATTTTAGCCAATTGATTCTGCTGCTCTGAGACTGTTTATCTACAAAATGGGGATTCTGTCATCCAAGATTTATTCATTCAAGAACTGTCCCTTGGGTGCCTGCTGTGTGCTGAACTCTGTTGTCAGCTGGAAGCGGGTTGCATTCCTCCTTGTTTGGCAGGAGGGCAGTAAGCCTGCATGCTGTGGAGTGCTCTGCCTCCTGACAGCAGTGAGCACCAAGGATTGCAAAATCGCATGGCACATCCCTGTTGGCATTTTGGGAGCGCGAGGCCAGCACTCACATGGTTGCTAAAGGGAATGAATGAATTGGTGAACAGAAAAACAACCCAACATATAAGCATTTTGACCTGCCCCTCAAACCTGCTTTTGACCTTTTTAAGGGCTTTGTTCTCACATCTCCAGTGTGTTATCCCTAAATTCCACTCTTCTCTACTCGCCGCGTTACCAGATAGATTGTGGACTTAACATGTGCTTCTGTTTATTTCTTTGAAGATGCAGACAGCGAAGGAGGGAGTCAAGAAGACAGTGAACTGGATGACCAAGACGAAGCTCCGTTTGCGCCCCCTCCTGGATACATGATGTACACTGTGTTTCCAGACGGTTCTCCCGTGCCCCAGGGCATGGCCTTGTATGCCCCACCGCCTCCTTTGCCCAACAACAGTCGGCCGCTCACCCCTGGCACTGTTGTTTATGGCCCGCCTCCTGCTGGTGCTCCCATTGTGTATGGTCCTCCACCCGCCAACTTCTCTGTCCCCCTCATCCCTATGGGCGTGCTGCATTGCAATGTGCCAGAGCATCATAACTTAGTAAGTGGAAACAGAAGCGACCATCACACTGCTTCACGGCGGCTAATGAGAGCATATGCTGCGGAGTCCATCTGCTTATGACTGGGTGCAATGTTTGCAAGGCTGGTGGCCAGAACTGAGAGACCATTCTTTCATTAGAATACTGTGAACTTGAGTTAGGATTCATTCTGCAAACCAGATTAACCATTTTATAAGAGAGGTATTTTCAGCCCAGAAATTAGCTGTTTCATGTGTATTTTTCTGTTGATATACTAGTATGTATCATGACATACATACATGATATGTAGCTACATGCACATAAATGTGTAGATATATTTGCACACTGGTCTCATATAGATATATGTGTATGTTTGCACATACATGTGAAAATGCATGTATGAACACATGAGCAGCATACAGCAAAATTTTCATGGAAATTATTTCTTGATAATGGGATTTTTTCATAATTTTTATAGGTCTATTTTATAGTTTTTTTCCTTTGTTGCTTGCATTTCCCAATGGTTTTCTATGCTTGTAAGCAATATTTTATGAGGGTTTCACATTTATCTATAGGTTCCATAGCTAAGTAACTGTGTGAGGGTGCACTATACATCCCTTTTTTTCCTTCCCCTTAGCCTACATTCCAAGAAGTGATTATTAACTGATAGATAACTTTTAACTTGTTTTCAAAACAAAAGGCAAACTCCTTTTCAAACACTGTGAGCTCTTGTTTTTTCTTTCCCTTTTGAGTGGAATGAGAGGAAGACGAAGGACTGAGACAGCTGCTACCAACCCGGCAGTCCCATTTTAATAGGTCAAGGGTCTGTGTGTGTGCCTGGCTTGCAGTGGACTCCCATTCTTCTGCGCTTTGTCAGTAGATTGTAACTTGGAGAAATGCCCTCTATCCAGCACTTACTGCTAATCTCTTCAATGGGTTCTTTAGTCTCCCAGGTACCCAGCTGCTCACAGTATCCCCAGTATAGTTTTGTACTTCCCAACACGTGCCATGCTGTGTCTTTCCCCCTTCACTCACACTCGAAAGCCCGAGCAACGCACCTGTTTCTCAGAGCAGCCTCCTCCAGCAGCTGGCCTCCTGTGTGGCCAGCGGGAGCCCGGGCTCTGTCTCGTCCGCTGAACTCTGTGGAGGCAGGATTATCCACGGCCAACACAGGGAGTGCTTCCAGCCACAGACTTAGGAAAAGTTTAAACGTTCTGTGAGCTCTCCAGTTTCATCTGTGGCATATGTGACAATTGGCTTGACTTGATTTCTTCTTTTTATGAATCTTAGAATCTACCATTTTCCAGGTCATAGGTCACATTGTAACCATTTTTGGCAAGAAACAGCAAAAACATCCTATGGTATTTCAGGTTTGTGTGTTTTGTTGTCGCTTTGTTCAGGAGAGTGAAGTTTCTAGATTGGAAGACATGATGCAGCATTTAAGATCAAAGAGACGTGAAGAACGGTGGACGAGAGCCTCCAAACGGCAGTCTGAGAAAGAAATAGAAGACCTGCAGCATAATATTGAAGAGCTTTTGCAAGAGAAGAAAGACTTAGAGCACGAAGTGGAAGATTTACATAGAACTATCCAGAAACATCAACAGCGAAAGTAATTGTTATAGCCATTATATTTTTGTAATTCAGTTGAATATGATTTCTTAATTCATTCAGACAACCTGAAATCAGAACTGGTTCAATATCTAAAAGAATGTTCTGTGATCTCAGAGATGCCTAGATAAATTCTATCCGGAATAGCAGTCACCAGCCACAAGTAGCCACCAAGCATCTGAGCTGTGGCTGATGGAGCAGATGGACAGACGTAATCTCATTGTAATTAACTTAGTAGTCTCTCTCCTGGCCAGTAATCCAAATCAGATACGCTTGTAGTTCCCTCAGAATGACAAAACCGTTCCTCCTCCCCAGTCATCCCAGTTAAGGTCCTCGACTGCTCTCCCAGGCCAAAGCACGGAGCTGGATGGGAAGTGGGGCTGCCGGGGTTAGAACCAGATGCCCATATGGGATCCTGGTACGTTCAAGTCTTGGACCTTAACTGCTATGCTATCATGCCAGGCCCACTAAAGTTCTTTTAAAAAGTGGAGAGGAGTACTAGATATTTGAGAGTTAAGAGGATGGGTTATGTTTGTTATTTTTGTGGGTATATATGTTATCCTTGAGTTATTAAATATATAAATATATATATAGCTTGTGAGAGAATTGTTTGTATTTACAGGAAAATGGTAGGAGAGTAAGATAACCACTTTTCCTTATTCTAAAAGTATAATAGATGATTACTCTAGGACATGTAGGTCGCATAAGGGAATGGCTAACGGGTACAAGGTGTGCAGTTAGACAAAATAGCTTCTAATCCATTGCACAGTAGAGTAACTGTGGTTGACAACTTTTAATTCTATTTCAAAAACAACTGGCAGGGAGGATTTTGAATGTTCACAGTACAAGGAAAAGATAAATGTTAGATGGTTATACCAGTTACCCTGATATGATCCATTGCACATTGTATATGTGTATTGAACTGTCATTGTGTCACTTAAATATGCACAATTATGAGTCATTTACATTTTTTAATATTCAAAGAAGACATGAAAATATTCTGCATACCTACACTTAAGGGAAAAAAAAGCTGTACTATAGTGAATTTGTTTTCACATTTTTCTGAAATATAGTCCTGAGTCTTCTCCATTTTCATATAATTTTACCATGCTATTGAGTTATTAAATCTAGTATTATGTTCTTTTTTGTGGGGGGTGGACAGCAGAGAGACAGAGACAAACAGAGGAAGCACCCATTCCCCCAGACACCCACAAGATAGGTGCAAGTGGAGCCAGGAGCAAGAAAATCCAGGGGCCCACCTGAACCGCTAGGCTGCCTCCCAGGGTCTCCACTGGTGGGAAGCTGGAGACAGGAGCCGGTGGTGGTACCCAGCCCAGACACTGTGATGTGAAGTACCTGAACCACTTATGTCTATGGAACTCAAATACTGACACGGTAGTTTTACTCTGGCAGAGTAGCGTAAGTCACAAACGCGGGCAGTCCGAGCACAGCTGGCGACCTGGGGCCTTGAGGACATGCTGCTGATGGTCTCAGGTGTTTGTTTTCATGTAAGTATCAACATTGTCTGCGCCAAGTACTGACAATCCAGGAACTCATATTTAGAACAAACATATCATACAGTTGATATCTTTTGCATTTATTGTCACTAGTATCCAATTTTTAATAAAAAGGTAAAGATAGACTTTGGACGTAATCAAATGTAACTGCCTTCCTTGTCATTTCTCCTACAAAGTTAGAAAATCCTCCCTCTTTCTCTGCATTGGCTACATTGGAAATCTTTGTGTTTGGTCATTTTTAGGGACTTCATCGATGGAAATGTTGAGAGGCTTATGTCTGAAGTGGAACTAGAGAAGTCACTGCAGCACCAGGAGGATATTCTAGATGAAATTGAGTGCATTGAGAAGACGCTGCTGAAGCGGCGCGCCGAGCTCAGGGAGGCCGACCGTCTGCTCGCCGAGGCCGAGAGCGAACTGTCGTGCACGAAAGAGAAGGTCTGTCCCGTGGGGCGTGAGCTCCGTGGGGTGACGCAGCTCGCCACATCTGCAGGCAGGCACATCAGCGCGTGCTGCCAGCTCGGACAGCTGGGCTCCAGGCCAGGCTCTGCTGGTTAAGCAGCTGGGGAAAGCTTTTCTGCTTCCCTCGCCTCCACATTCAAGCTAAGAATATGTAGACAGTTCAGTAAGAATTAATGAGATAGCATACTTTAAACTAAAGACATTTACTTCCTTACTTGTGTGTCCTTTTTGAGTTTTTTTAATTTGTTAGCTCTGATTTTTAATATAGATCAGGCAAATTCTTTTTAAAACTGTGGTTGACTTCATAAATCTTTTCATTTCAAAGGTTGATAATGCTATAAAATTTTTTTTTTAATATGAGATCATATTCTTAAGAATAACACAGGGGTCTGGTGCAGTAGCCTAGTAGCATGTGCTGGGATCCCATATGGGAGTTGGTTCATATCCTGGTTGCTCCACTTTCCTTCTGGTGCCCTGCTTGTGGCCTTGGAAAGCAGTAAGGATGGCTCAAAGAAGTCTGTTCCCCACAAGATTCTACTACTACTACATTATTCTTTTTTTTTCTTTCTTTTAAAGATCTTTCATCCACTGGTTCACTCCCCAAGTGGCCGCAACAGCTGGAGCTGAACCAATCCAAAGCCAGGAGCCAGGAACTTCTTCTGGGTCTCTCACCCGGGTGCAGGGTTTTCCTCCTAGGCTTTGGTCCAATCCCAGCGCATGCAAGGGCGAGGACTTTAGCCACTAGGCTACCTTGTTCCTTATATTATTTTAAATGTAATGCATTTAAATTGATGGATTTCTAGTTCCAGCAACTGGAAAAATGAGTTACTCACAACATTCTGGGAGTGATGGCTTTAGTGTGAATGGGAAGTCCCCCTCTCTTAGGTGAGCAGGTCTGTCCGTCATTCAGTCACTGCAGACCAGGCGTGAGCAGAGCTAGGGAAACATGGTCGCTGATGCGTGGAAGTGACGATGCCAGGGGTAGGCGGGGGGTGCCGGGGTAGGCAGGGGGTGCCAGGAGTAGGCAGGGGGTGCCAGGGGTAGGCAGGGGGTGCCAGGGGTAGGCAGGGGGTGCCAGGGGTAGGCAGGGCGTGCCAGGGGTAGGCAGGAGTGCAAAGTGGCCAGGAGTAGGCAGGGCTGGGGTGCAAAGTGGCCAGGGCTGCTGCGAAGCTCTTTCTCCCCATTCTCCCCAATGACTCAGGGAGGTGGCTTGGTAAAAAATGTGCCAGAATATGTTCAGACCAACACAGAAGAAGACATAGACACGCACACACGCTCACACTCAGCCTCAGCTCACACTCACACTCAGCTCACACTCACAAAAAACAAGCAAAACAATTACTTTGCCAGGTGGCTTCTGTAGTCTTGACACCATGCTGATCGAAGAACAGAAGTGGGGTGAAATATCTAACTCTTGGGGAGCTTGCCAACCCTTAACACATAGATTTCTTTCTTCAATACAACTACAAAACCGTGGGGGAGTCAGTGCTCAGCCACGCACAGAGCAGACCCTCTTCTCAGACCTACCGCAGCCATTGCTTTAGACATCTTAGCAGAAAGAGAAATGAAGTCGATTTTTAAAAAGATTTTGGCAAATCTTTTAGACTTTTAAATAGTTTAAAGCTATTTAATATTTGTGGTTCTTAGTCATAATTAAATCATCACATTGTGTTTTTTTTTTAAAGATTTATTTTTATTTTTTTTATTGGAAAGGCGGATATACAGAGAGAGACAGAGAGGAAGATCTTCCGTCCGATGATTCACTCCCCAAGTGAGCGCAGCGGCTGATACTATGCCGATCCGAAGCCAGGAGCCTCTTCCGGGTCTCCCATGCGGGTGCAGGGTCCCAAAGCTTTGGGCCGTCCTCAACTGCTCTCCCAGGCCACAGGCAGGGAGCTGGAAGGGAAGCGGGGCTGCCGGGATTAGAACCGGCACCCATATGGATCCCGGGCGTGCAAGGCGAGGACCTTAACCACTGTGCCACTGCGCCAGGCCCAATCACATTGTGTTTTTACTGAACTTGATAATGTCTAGGGTACAGCAAGAATCTGTGTGGAGCATCTGGGTAAAAAAAAAAATCACTTCACTGCCATTTAATTGGGTTTGTAGTTTTACTACCAAAAAATGACAATAATGTATAGATAGTTGTGGAACCCCATGGTCATGGGCAGTCCCAGCACCTTTACATGTGTTTTTCATGGCCCTTCCGCCCTTGGTGACACAGTTGCAGTTTATAGAGCTGCTGTTACAGTGCATGGCTCCTTGTTTCAGCCAACACAGTATTAGCATTTTCCCATGTTGCTGTGCTGTGTCATTTAAGATTTATTTTATTTATTTGAAAGGCAGAGTTACAGACAGGGAAGTATCTTCCCTCTACTAGCTCACTCCTCAAATGGCTAAGAGTTGTGCCAGTTTACATTAGCAAACACTTGTGAGTATTGCAACTGAATTGCTTTTAATGATGATTTCTTTTCTAGACAAAAAATGCTGTTGAAAAGTTTGCTGATGCCAAGAGAAATCTCTCACAAACTGAGTCAGAGGCTGAGGAGTTAGAAAGGAGAGCACAGGAAACTGCCGTTAACCTTGTCAGAGCGGATCAGCAGCTAAGGTAGGCGAGCCCTACGCCAGCAGTGTGGACACCGAGCCGAGCGAAAAGCTTGGTTCTCGGGGGCAGGGGACAGTCATGGCTGGTGACACAGGATGCCGAAGTCTGAGGGGAATAAAGTGATGTGTTTTAGATTGCTGCAGGCCGATGCAAAGGATTTGGAGCAGCACAAGATAGAGCAAGAAGAAATGTTGAAAGAAATCAGCAAAGTTGTAGCAGCCAAAGACTCGGACTTGCAGTGTCTAAGCCAGAAGAAGGAACAGCTGACAGAGGAGTAAGCCGGGCACAGTGGGGCTGGCGGGGTTGGCGCCGGAAGGGGGCCCCGGGTTCCGCGCCTCCCCTGCCGCCTGCTCAGGTCCTGCCGGTGACTTTCAGACTTCAGAAACTGCAGAAAGACATCGAGACAGCGGAGCACAGTGGGGATCACCACCTGCAGGTCCTGAAGGAGTCGGAGACACTCCTGCAGGCCACACGGGCTGAGCTGGAGCAGCTGAGAGGCCAGGTACAGCACGGACACCTGGGCAAAGCGAGCAGTGCGTGCTGCTCCCGACCCTAAAGCCACGCGTGTTCGTAGCAAAGGAGTAAGAATGCGAAGGGAGGTACAAGAGAATAAAGAGTTCTAGAGTGTCTCAACCTAGAGCCCAGCGCTGGCGCAGTCCAGTTCTGACTCGGCACAGCGTGTTGTGAAGTCTGGGCTGTTCTGAGATCATTTCTGTGGAATGTCTTGATGAACACCTACGCTTTCAGTCTGCACCAAATCATAAAACTGGTCTTCTTGATAAAAAGGGTTATGAATATTTGTAAAATAATTTTTCCTTTTGCATTTTTGCAATATTTGCTTTTTTGTAAAGAAATATGCACTGCTTCCTAATATTGTAAGTCTTTTTTTTAACTTAATAAATGAGTAAATTTCAGAAGCATCTGCATAACAAACCGGCAGTGTTGTCAAAATGTAGCAGTAAACTTTAGGGGGAAAATAAATTCTTTCCAACTCGTCGTGTTGTTCTCACTGATTTAAGTATGTGCACTCACGGTGTTCATGAAGCATTCCAGGCTCCAGCCTGGCCTTCTCGGCTGCAGTATAGTGGCTCTTGTTTCAGCCTACAACCTTTGGCTGGGCTAAACGGCGATTTCCAGGTTAACAGGAAGCCGCATGGCTGTTGACAGACTTGGCTTTCTTCCGTTTTCTTTAACAGGTGGCAAGTCAGCAGGAAGAGATGAGCATCTTGGACAAGCAGTTGGGTCTTAAAAAGGATGAGCTGCGTCTTCTCCAAGAAAGTCTGGTCCAGGCCAAAGCCGACCTCCAGGAAGCGCTGAGGCTGGGAGAGACGGAAGTCGCTGAGAAATGCAGTCACATCAGGGTAGGTCCACCACGCAAGTCTCCTGGGTCCTCTGACAGTGCTGTGGATCACTCTGGAGGTGTTTTCATCGATTCTCCCCAAGTGCAAACACAGCTTCCTGACATCTTTCCTGCACTGTCAGTTTGGTGCGTGTGTTCCCGCTGTGTCTGTCATACTCAGCTCCCTGTGTCTCGTGGCTTCCCCCGTCCTCTGTCCTCTGTCCTGTGCCCTACAAGGGATTCTGCCAGAATTCCCTCTCTCTGTCACAGGACAGATGCCACTTCCTTCTCCCAGCCCAGCCTGCTGCCACCTCCTCGAAGCTGTGCCCAACTCACTCCTCCTCTTTGTGGTGTGGTGGTGCGTGGCGTGCTCCCAGGGGCGGCCCTGTGTGTGAGCCTGGCTGTCCCCTACCTCCAGGGCCTCCTGAGTCCCTTTGGGCAGAAGCCAGCTCGCTGTCAGCCCCTTCCCCCCAGCTCGGTACTTGCACATACGCCTAGGCGAGAGTACTGGGATTCCTCCCCTCTGTTACCCAGAAGTACGTTTGTGTAAAATGTAGCTGTTCACCTCCTTACACACACGGCAAAATGGAATGAGTTCTTTCATACTGGAACTGATTTTATTTCCATTCATAGTTTCACAAAAGGGGGTGGTAGAATATTTGGTATTTTTTTTTTTTTAAACACAGGAAGTAAAATCTCTTCTGGAAGAACTGAGTTTTCAGAAAGGAGAACTGAATGTTCAGATTGGGGAAAAAAAAACGCAACTTGCACTTATAAAGCAAGAAACTGAGAAAGAGGAAGAAAATCTTCAGGTGGTTTTAGGGCAGATGTCTAAACATAAAGCGGGTAAGTTTGTAAAAAACCATCATATAAAATTTGAAGTTAGAAAACTCTAGATCCCACGTCACAGAAAAGCTGCAAGTTGTTGAATTAGCATCTCCTAAAATTTATATTATACTAGAGAAAAGCACATAAAAAGGGTATTATTTTTCGCCATTGAAATCGATGAGGTTTATTTTAAAGCAAAACAATCACATCCAGTGCCCGAAGACAGGAGTTCGCAGGGTTCTGAGTAGCTGTGTACCAAGTGGAACAATGCCTCGCGTTTTAGGACTCTCAAAAGTTCTGTGCATTGAACTCATGAGCCCAATTCTAGTAATTCGGAGAGGGCAAGAATTTTTGCTCAAATATTTGGAAATGACCAGTTTAAAGGCCATGTTTTAACATTTAAGGACATGCAACACTGCTCCTGAGGAGAGTGAAAAATACATGCCAAGTGAGCGTGGAGTCTGTTCCCAGCCTCTGCGTGCGTGCGTTCCTGGGAGCAGATACATCGCTCTGCTCTTGTGATAGTCTTCCTCTGGGTGCTCGCATAATGATGGATTTTCATTTCTTAAGTTATTTTTCTATTTCCCAAATTTTCTATAATTTCATAGTTTTTACATTTTCATCATCAGAAAAAAAAGATAAGGTATTTGTATTTAAATGGGGCAAAAATGTTATGCAAACCTCAGTGTCTGTTTTAAAATGTTTCCTATTTTGATTAGTTTTCATTCAGGTAAAATATTTTTAGTTGTTGTGTTTTTTTCCCGTAATTTATTTTATTTATTATTTGAAAGGCAGAATTACAGAGAGAGAGGTCTTCCTTCCACAGATTCGCTCCCCAAATGGCCACCAGCAACTGGAGCTTGGCCAGTTCGAAGGCACGAGTCAGCAGCAGCTGCTTCTGGGTGGGTACAGCGGCCAGGAGCCAGAGCCCTCCCACATGGATGCCAGGGGTCTAAGCACTTGGGCCATCCTCCAGCGCTTTCCCAGGAACACTGGCAGGGAGCTGGAGCAGAAGTGGAACTCAAACCAGCACCCATATGGGAAGCCAGCTCCGCAGGCAGCAGTGTAACACGCTAAGCCACAGTGCTGGCTCCTTAGTTCTTTCTTGTGTGCAGATAAATGCTTTTGGATCTGGACATTTTGTTAAATATTTTTAACTGTTTTCAAAATTAAACAAATAATACTTCACGACGGTTTTATTACACTGAAAGTACAACGAAGGCCACAATTTACCTCAACGACATTTTTTTTATTTATCTGTCATTTCCTGTATTGGTCAATAACATTATTTTCTGTTTCATTTTGTAAATTCTTCCGTTTGACAACATGGAGTATATTTTGTTTCTGTCTGCTAGAACTGAAGAATATTCTGGACATACTACAACTGGAAACCAATGAGCTACAAGGCCTGAAGCTCCAACACGACCAGAAGGTGTCGGACTTAGAGAAGCTTCAGGTTGAAGTGCTGGAGGTAAGGAACGGAGCCGCTGCGGCCTCAGCGCCGGCAGCCCTGCTCTGCTGCCATGGTAACGCCCTCTTGAACCTGACGCAGGAGAAGCTGCTCCTGGAGAACCTGCAGCAGACAGCTCAGCAGCAGAAGGGGGAGATGGAGTGGCAGAAGCAGCTCCTGGAGCGGGACAAACGGGCCATGGAGAGGCTGACGGCCGAGATCCGCGCCCTGCAGCCGTGTGTCGAGCGTCTGAGCAAAGAGAAGGAAGAGCTCCAGGAGAAATGCGACAGCTGGGAAAAGAAGCTGGCACAAAGCAAAAGGTGAGGGCAGGAACAGGCCTTCAGAATCACTTCTTCACGCTCAGAGCACTGTAAGTACAGCCCACTTTAAGAAGTTAGGCACGAAAGGAAAGGAAAAATAAATTCTTCACAAACCCCATCTTAATATGAGACGTCAGTCGCTCTTTATCCCAAAAGCAGTTTTTAGAACATTCTGTTGTGATCTTTTAAGTAAAATAATACATACTAGAAACAAATGGAGAGATTCACCTTTTTCCTTGATAGGAAAGCTCTATTGTTAAGGTTTAGTTCTCAAATTTAAATCCCAGCAGATTTTAATTTTTTTTTAATATAGAAACAGCATGCTGGTTCTTCATATGGAAATGTAAAGGACCTAGATAAAACTGACGCCATTGAAACAACTGTGAAAAAAAAAAAGCTTTGAGCTGGAGTGGGCACTGTGGCACAGCAGGTTTAGCTTCTGCTAAACTCCAGTTCCCCGCTCAGAGTTCCCAGCTGCTCCACTTTCAGTCCGGCTCCTACTGCACCTGAGAGAGAGGAAGATGGCCCAAGTGCTTGGACCCCTGCACGGCCATGGGAGACGCTGATGGAGTCCCAGGCTCCTGGCTTCTTTCCCAGCCCTAGCCATGGCGCCTGTTTAGGGAATGAGCCAGGGCAGATGAAAGAGGAGCACCTCCCTTGCTCCGTGTGTGTGAGAATGGATGTCCATGCACAGGACAGATGTCCTAGTGTCACACATGTCCTAGTGTCACACACGAGCAATCCACTTTTATCTCAGATGTGGAAGTCTAGATGTTAGCCATGATTTTTGTTAAACTTCAATTCAGTGGATTGTTTTTTCAGAAGAAAACCTCCTGTTTAGAAAGTGATAGTAAGGTCTCTTTTGAAATCAGTCTGGGGCCCGGCATGGTAGCCTAGTGGCTTAAGTCCTTACCTTGCACACACCAGGATCCTGTATGGGTGCCGGTTCATATCGCAGAGGGCTCACTTCCCATCCAGCTCCCTACTTGTAGCCTGGGAAGGCAGTTGAGGACAGCCCAAAGCCTTGGGACTCTCCACCCATGTGGGAGACCTGAAAGAGGCTCTGGGCTCCTGGCTTCGCATCGGTGCAGCTCCGGTCAGTGCAGTCACTTGGGGAGTGAATCATCGGACAGAGGGTCTTCCTCTCTGTCTCTCCTCCTCTCTGTATATCTGACTTCCCGATAAAAATAAATAAATCTTAAAAAATATCAATCTGAAGATTTCCAACTCTTTGTGTGACTTAGTCTCCTACTGTTATGAATGGGCGACAGTCGTTGGTCTTCAGTCATCTCCTGCTTACATTTAAAGATCTGTGTGTGACAATCTGACCTGTTCTTTGTGTGACAGGGTTCTAGCGGCTACAGAGGAAAGCAACAGAATGGAGCAGTCAAACTTAGAAGAGTTGGAATTGAAAGTCAGGAGACTGCAGCAGGAGCTCGAGGGGCTCCACAGGGACAAGGTCTCGGCGTGCAGTGACGTCTCCCTGGCGCAGCAGCAGCTGCGAGGTAGGCGCGGCGGGCGCTACGCCATGACGTCACGGCGGGCGCTACGGCTGCACTTCCCTCCTTGCAGGAGTAACTCGGGCCAGGGGATAGAGTCTGGACAGTTGGGTTGTGGTGAGGGTTGCTCAGTTCCATGTCTGCACTAAAAGCCAGTGAATTGTACACTTTAGGACACATAAGCAGTTTGTCTCCATGAAGCTGTTATAGAAACCTAATTCACATTCCTGAGGGAACAATTTAAAAACACAGCAAGAAGGTGGAATAGAAACTTTTTGGCCTTCTCCCTCAGAGGCAATCCCTACTGGCAGTTTGATTTTTTTCCTTGTGGTGTGTGTGTGTGGAGAAGATGCCAAGTAGTTCTGACTGGTACTGTACTTGTATTTGCTGCGTGGTGGGTGTGATGCGCCTCTCGGTACCTGTGGTGCTGCTGGGAGACAGAAGTTCGTATTTTGCACATTTGCAGAGAGGAAACGGAAGCTGTGTTCTTGTGACTTGTTTGATTCCCAAGCAGCACACTGAAGATCCTCCAGCTAGTCACGGGCAGTGCCAGTTTGTCTTCTTAGAAAGTGCTGAATTTTCATTTCTGCCAGCAGTATAAAAAATGCCTATTTTTAAACTAAGTACTCACCGGTAGTATTACCATAGATTTTGTTTTGAGATTTTAAACATGGAAGTTTTTGTAAAACCTGTGCTCCAAGCCCAGATGTGAAGTGTGCATGTAACTGTCTTTTGGTCTTTAATAAGGTAGTGTGGTGTAACAATATAGGGAACAGAAAACAAGTCTAAATTCACTTCTCTACCCTGCGGGGGGCTGGTTGGACCCTGCACAGTGTGTGGATGTGTGTTTCTTACACCGTGTTATTTCTGCAGAGAAGCAAGAAGCAGTAAGATCACTACAAGAGGAACTAACCAGTGTGCAAGACCATTTGAACGCAGCAAATCAGGTAATGGTGACAGTGTGGTGCAGCATTCTGGTAGGAGCCTGGAGGCGTGCAGGCAGTTGACCGAAAACAAAAACCTCCAGAAGACCCAGTCCTCATAAAGATATGTTCACACGTTTATGAGTTTGGGACCTGTATGAATACTTCACACATCAGTAAAACCAGGCCTGTAGGTTCATTCTCAGCAAGAACGACGTCTGACTCTGTCATATTCTGAACAGCCCCGGGAGGGGAATGTCACTTATTCCCACCTCACTGACAAGGCAGCTCAAGTTCAGAAGCATTTCGTCTCTTGCCAGGATCCTAACATCTTTTATCACCTTACTTTTTAGGCCCTTGAAAGAGAACAACCTGTGATCAAGTTTAGCTTTGGGTGCCCTTCTGTCATTTTTTGGGGTTGATAAGAGATATGGAACCTTTGTGCTTCTCATTGGTCAGCTGTGGTGGCCGCCAGGCTGACGCTCGCCAGCCCCGCCGATAGCCGTGGGACCACTGACCTGTGTTCTGTCCCCTAAGGAGCTGCTTCACACCACCAGGCGCCAGGACGCACTGCTCAGCGAGCAGAGCCAGCTCCAGAGGGACATCAGTGAGTGGATGCGGAGGTTCGAGAACTGTCAGAAAGAAGAAGAGGCAAAGCAGCAGCAACTCCAAGTGCTTCAGGATGAGATCGAGAAAAACCAGCTCAAACTGGCCCAGCAAGAAACGGTAGCCCTGCCCCCTCGGGGTTTTGAGGGAAGGGCAGCATTTGTCATGCACCTTTGTGCCCCGGGATAGAAGGCTGCAGAGAAGTACCCCTTGCAGGATTAGGTGTCACTACACTGTCCTGTGGGGCACAGCTTCTGACTCTGCGGATGAATATTGTTAGAGCGTTCACCCACAGCACCTTGGCCTGTTCGAATGGTACTGGGCACGTACAAGGTGCCACTCCCCTCCTGTGTCACCACTCATCTCCCTCGTGCAGGAACACTCTGTCCCCGTGGGCTCTTTCTACTTCCTGTTCTACCGGGTCTGTGCATGAAAGTTCCTTCATCTAGCACACTAGATGTCTAATTAAGGTTGTTCTTCACTAAGGTGTTTCAAAACCTCCAGAAAGAGCGAGAAAGTGAAGAAAAAAAATTGGAAGTCAGTAAAGTGACCCTGCAGGAGCAGCAGCAGCAGCTGGAAAAGGAGCTCGCAAGTCAGAAAAGTAGGCTGGACCAGGTGCTCTCGGAGGTGCTGGCGGCCGAAGAGCGGGCCAGGACCCTGAAGGAAGAGGAGCGGCGAGGCGAGAGCCTGGAGAAGACGCTGTCCCAAACCAGTAGGTGTCTGGGTGCTGCCCAGGGCTGTGGGCGGCAGGCAGGGCAGGCCCCAGGAGGAGGCAGGAAGGGCAGAGCAGGGAAAAGGCCAGTCCTGTGCGAGATGCAGCAGCAGGCAGAGACAGGGTTCCAAGCCAGGGCTGACCACCCAGGCCGTCTGCTTTCCCAGGTGCCTCCTTTGGGAACATTCTCTCAGGAGGGTGGCATGTCACAGCAAAGCCAGGCAGAAGCTAAGGCACACTGTGAGCTTTGAGAATACGGAAGGACGCCTGCTGTCTCAGCAGTCAGAAATCAGTGTTAATAGCTCTCCTCCATCTTGATTTGACATACTGAATGGTGCCAGCATATTGCCTTTGGGCCACTTTGCCCTTTCTTGAGCTATGTGGCAAAATAGAATGAAAAGGCAAATTCATTTTGGTACAAGCTTTTGAAATCTGGGTAGCTTTTTCATAGTATGCATTTTTCACGTGCTTTGTAGAGACTCATGGAGGTGATGTGAGTATCCGGGTGGGGGGCACCCATCCCAGAGTGCCAGGGTTTGAGTTGCAGCTCCACTCCAGTTCCAGCTTCCTGCTAACGTGTCCCCTGGGAGGAGGCAGGTCTCAGCCACCTATACCTAAGACCTGGATCCCGTGAGTTTTAGGCCTCTGTCTTCGGCCTGGCCCAACCCCAGCTGTTGCAGGAAGAGAACCAGTGCATGGAAAGGCTGTCTCTTGCTGTTTCTCTACCTTACAAATATATAAAAATAATTAAAAGAAACATTTTTAAGTAAAATAAATGATTTTTTCTTAGGCTACAAGATCTAATAATGGCTGGCAAATGTAGATTTGAGGACATGAAAAGGTTATGTAAATCCTTTTGTCTTGGGAATTTTTTTTAAGATTTATTTATTTATTTTTAATTGGAAAGGCAGATACACAGAGAGATGAGACAGAGAAAGATCTATCTGCTGGTTCGCTCCCCAAGTGGCTGCAATGGCTGGAGCTGAGCTGATCTGAAGCCAGGAGCCAGGAGCCCCTTCTGGGTCTCCCACACAGGTGCAGGATCCCAAGGCTTTGGGCTGTCCTCGATTGCTTTCCCGGGTCACAAGCAGGAAGCTTGAAGGGAAGTGGGGCAGCCGAGACACGAACTGGCCTCCATACGGGGTCCCAGTACTTGCAAGGCGAGGATTTAGCCACTGAGCCATTGCACCGGGCCCCTGAGAACTCTTCTTACACCCAGTTTCAATCATTTCATTATGAAAAAGAAATGAAACACATATACTTAGTTCTTATCATTCCAGGTGTGATAAAAAAGCAAAACAGGGTGCTATTCTTAATAAAGTGATAAGAAAACAACTGTCTAAATGTCACTTTTTGTATCATTCACTTTTCTAAGATGGATTTGTCTTGAAGGTAGAGTTACAGAGGGAACTGGACAGATTTGATTTGTTGCTGGGTCATTTCCTAAGATGGCCACAAGAGCCAGAGCTGAGCCCAGTTGAAGCCAACAGTTCCACCCAGGTCTCCTACATGGGTCGCAGGGGCCAAACACCTGGGCTGTCTTATGCTTTTCCCAGCCATTAGCAAGGAGCTGGATCCGAAGCGGAGCAGCGGGGACACAAACCTGTGCCCAGGTGGGATGCCAGCATCGTAAGCCTTGGCTTTACCTGTAATGCCGCAGTGCTGGCCCCACTGTCATTGTTCTTTCCAAGCACCGTTGACTGTGTACCTGTTTGCATACACAGTCCTAACAGCAACAGTTAGCTCTTTGTCTATAAAATGGGGCTCATGTCACTGCAGCAACCAGCTCCAGATCCTTCCACTGCACTGTGCTAACTGTGGTCCACGCCAACCTGCAACATTTGGTGCTGGGGCGGAGGGCAGGGAGGATTCCCCTGAGCAGCTGGTGGGCACTCTGCTAAAGGAGCACTCTGTCCTCAGCCTGCCCAGGGCCTCTTGTCAAGCCTCCTCAAACCACTTGCTTTCAGAACGGCAGCTTTCCGAACGGGAGCAGCAGTTAATGGCAAAGTCCAGTGAGCTGCTGGCCCTGCAGAAAGAGATGGACAGCATGAGGGCGGACTTCAGCCTCCTGCGCAACCAGTTCTTGACTGAAAGAAAGCAAGCCGAGAAGCAGGTGGCCAGCCTGAAGGAAGCACTCAAGACCCAGAGGAGCCAGCTGGAGAAAAATCTTCTCGTGAGTACCTGTGGCGCTGGTGTTCAAGAATGCTGTAAGTGCAGTGTATCCTACAAGGTGAGGTTGAAGACCACTGTGAGGCAGCTCTGGCTGGCTGGGGAGACCACCGCTCTGATAAAACACTGCCTCCGCCCCACTGTGCTGGTCTGCCCCAAGGGAAGCACCCTGCTGTGGGCCATGGGCTGAGGTCGGGCCCCAGAAGGCAGTGTTTACAAAGTGCTTACAAAGTCCTGCCTGCCTCCTTTTTCATCAGTGTTAGTTTTAATCATTATCCCAAAACCAAGCAGCTTGAGCTACCCAGCCTTTATCTCTGAAATAAGTTTGGAAGATGCTGTCAGCCCACAACAGACTGTGGTGTATGGAGGTAAGCGAGTAGCCAGGGGACTGGCTCAAGAATGGGTTTTTCCAGTACCTTGAGACAGGACCAGTGGAAGCCACATTTTTAAACCATCTGTATTCCCAAAGGGTAATATGCTCACAGCGAGTGGTAACCAAGATGACTGGGAAATGGATGTCTGAAGTTAGTCTTCCCCAGTAGCCAACAGGTGTTACCATCCCCTGTTCCAGGTCACTGGAGCCTCCTCACCCGGCAGATGTGGGTTCAGGCTTGGTTGGGGCTGAGAGACCAACACTGCCTCCTTCCCACTGTGCTGGTCTGCCGCAAAAGGCAGATACAGTGGTGCCCATGCTACAAAGCTAACAGGTGTCTTTGCCTTGCTTCTGTGCTAGGAGCAAAAGCAGGAAAACAGCTGCATACAGAAGGAAATGGCCACGATAGAGCTGGTAGCTCAGGACAACCACGAGCGGGCCCGGCGCCTCATGAAGGAGCTCAATCAGATGCAGCATGAGTACCTGGAGCTGCAGAAACAGGTGCGTGTGAGGAACCTGCCGGCCAGTCTGGGACAGAGAGGACCCCTCACGTCCTCTGCCACAGGGCTCAGACAGACTGCATTGCCACTACTGATCTCTGGAGGCCAGTGCCACAGCGTCACCGGTTAAACCTCTGCTTGTGGCACCAGCATCTCACATGTGCACAGGTTCAAGTCCTGGCTGTTCAGTTTACTCCCTAGCTGCATGCTCATGGCCTGGGAAAGCACTGGAGATGGCCCAAGTGCTTGGGCCTCTGCACCCACATGGGAGACCCAGAAGAAGCTCCTGGCATCAGACTGACCTACCTCCATTTAGAGCGCGAACCAGTGGATGGACGCTTTCTCCTTTCTTTATCCCCTTGTCTCTTTTACTCTTTCAAATAAAAATAAATCAATCTTTTTAAAAAAAAAATATTTGAAAGGCAGAGATAGACGGTAGAGGGAGAAACAGAGGTCTTCTTTCCACCGATTCTTTCCCCAGTTTCCCAGTAGCCAGGACTGGGCCAGACCAAAGGCAGGAGCCAGGAGCTCCTTCCAGGTCTCCGCGTGGGTGCAGGGGTAGGTAACTTGGCTTATCTTCCTCTGCTCTCCCCAGTGCATCAGCAGGGAGCTGCACTGGAAGCAGAACTGCTGGGACTGGTGCTCACTTAACCTGCCTGGCCACAATGCCAACCCCAGTTATCTATTAGATGAAAAATGTTATTACAGTTCTCTTAAGCTGACCAAGGTTTTAAATTTTTAAAATAATTTTTGCTCATTTATCTCATTTATTTGAAAGCCAGAGGGACAGAGACCTATACACTAGTTCATTCTCCCAAGGCCTGACTGAGTCACTGCTGGGCCCGGCCAGAGCCAGGTACCAAGAACTCAGTCCAGGCCACCGCGTGGACGGCTCCATCCACAGGTTGGAGCCTGTTGCCTCCCAGGGTGCGGACCAACAGGAAGCTAGAATCAGAAATGGAGCCTGGGACTCAACACAGGCACTCCAGAATGGGATGTGAACTCCCAGGTGGCATCTAAACCACAGGCCAAACATCCACCCCTCAGCAAGCTTTTTGTGTTGGTTGGTGAAAGCAAAAGGTGGCCATTCTTTACATGAAATTGTATCATGTTCCAAACATCTTCGTTGGGATTTTATTTTTATTGGAAAGTCAGATATACAGAGAGGAAGAGAAGATCTTCCATCCGATGATTTACTTCCCAAGTGGCCACAAATAGGTTGGCACTAAGTTGATCCCAAAGTCAGGAGCCTGGAGCCACCTCCATGTCTCCTACATGGGAGCAGGGTCCCAAGGCTTTGGGCCGTCCTCGACTGCTTTCCCAGGCCACAAGCAGGGAGCTGGATGGGAAATGGGGCTGCTGGGATTAGAACTGGTGCCCATATGGGATTCCAGCACGTGCAAGACAAGGACTTTAGTGGCTAAGCTACCATGCCTGGGATTTTAGATTTTATGCCAGATTCAAGTCTGGAGAGCCAACCCCTGGGCAAGACACAGAGTGTAGGAAAAGCCTCTGGTGTCATGTCACGTGCCAGGTGAGACATGCAGAAGCAGCCCATATCTGGGTTGGTAACCTCCAACCCCAGATGCCCTGATGGCCTTGAGCCAGTGTCAGCTTCTGGGCCGTCCCTGAACTCGTTGTGCTGCTACAACCCGTTGTAGCAGTTGGCCCTACTATACTTTGTCTTTGGCCATTCTGGGTCAATCTGTGCTGCCAGCCCTGTACCCCATACCTTACAACACACCTTTGTGATGCAAGGCAAACATTTTTTAACAAAGTTATTTAAAAATCACGAACTAACAATTTTAGATGCCTCTGTAGACCTGGTAGGGCAATTACCAGTAAGAACAAATCTGACATCTTTGTTGAGCTGTTGCAAGAGCCACATTAGAATAAAAGTGTCAAGTATTAAACCCAATCTGTAGTTCTTTCAGATATCTTAGACTGCTCAAATCTAAGCCTGCTTTAAAAAGAAAAAAAAAAAGCCCTTTCTAATGCCCCTTTCAGCACTAACAGATCACTCAGATCACTTAGGACTGACTTCAGTAAGGGGTCATTTTCTTACTGGAGGTTTTATTACGTAGCTGCCACTAAGTACCCTAGGTACTTCACATTTTGATCTCAGTACTTACCTTTCTGAACAGACATCATCCCTGGGTCTCCATGAGTCTCAGCAGTCAGCTAAGTGACCCTGACTACACAACATTATCCACAGGCTTTTCTAATCCTGAAGCTGCTTCAGTCATACACATAGCAGTTTGTAGATTCTAGGATATTTAAACAACCCCAAGTGTTTATAGTTCCAGCCATCACACAACAGATGCTTCTTGTGAGACAGTAAGATCCAGTATACCAATCAGCTTGAAATACCAGTAGGTCAGAAGTGCCTCTGACAGCCGTGCCTGCTTGAGTGGCGTATGGCTTGGCGGGACACAGCACACCATGCAATGTCAACTCCCCTCTTGTGCCCACCGGGTGGACTGCACACAGGCACTGCTGCTGGCCACCCAGCACTGAGAGAAAACTGGCCACGGTCACTAGCCTGGAGATCCAGTGTCCACCTGCACACTCCTCTTGCACCATGGTGAAGGCAGACTCCGCAGTGCAGCCCCTGGGAGTTCCACAGGTGATATTCATAGCATGTACACATGGCAGTTACCCAGCTCGACCCCCAAGTGAAGTCCCAAACTACCTGGTGGTATCTGACTCTGTTCAGGTGGAAAACCAAAAGTCTCTGGAGAGAAGGCAAATGGAAATCAGCGACGCCATGAGGACCCTGAAGTCTGAGGTGAAAGACGAAATCAGAAGCAGCTTAAAAAATCTCACCCAGTTCCTTCCTGAACTATCAGCAGATCTAGAAGCGGTTTTGGAAAGAAATGAAAACCTTGCAGAGTTGGAAAGTCTCAAAGAGAATTTTCCGTTCACTATGACTGAGAGGCCCTTTGAAGAGAAGCTGAACTTCTCCCAGGTTCACATCAAGGTTAGGGTTTGTCCTGTTACTCCTTGGGCTCTCCAAAAGCGGAATTTGGTTACTACCTCCCCCAGTTAAGCTAAAAGACACATTTTGGGTAGGGTGGTGGAGAAGAGAGGGAGGAAAAAGCATGCCAACCGCAGCCATGGTACTTGGAGACCACTGACCTCTCCCCTTTTCCGTCTACACAAGGACACACACTGGCACGGAGAAGCCCTGCGAGAGAAACTACGGCACCGTGAAGACCGACTCAAGGTAGCCATTGGTTGATGTCTTTTTATTGGTTTTACTTGAAGGAGACAGAGATCTCCTGTGTGTCAACCCAGGCCCTTGATGCCTGCGGCTGGAGCAGGTCAACATAAAGTGAGATACTCAAGCTTAGTCTCCCACATGGATGTAAGTGTCGCAAGTGCCCGTGCCACCACCCGCTGCCTCCCAGGGTGTACACGGGCAGGAGGCTGGAGTGGAGAATAGATGTGGGATTCAAACCCAGGCACCCGGTATGGAATGCAGGTGTCCGGGTGGCGTCTTAATCTGTCAGATGCCTGCCCTCACAGTAGGTTTGTAAACCACACGGTTGGAGTCAGGAGAAGTTAGCACCATATAGCATATGGAAGTATTCAAAACTATGCATTCCCGTATGAACTACAGTGCTGTTTAGCCTACGAACTGCTTTACTTCAGCTAAGACTGACAGAGCCTACATGCCTGGGACAGGAAAGAGAGATGCAGTGATGACACTCACAGGCACAGTGGGCAGGGAGACTGGGAGTACCTCAGCAGGCCTGGGCGCCAGCTAGGCAGGGTGCTGCTCTGAATACCCAGTGCGAGAGCTGGAAGGGAAGACAAGAAAGCCGCCTGTCTGTAGGCAGTGGAAAAGGGGACTGTCAGTCCTGAGCTGCAGAATTGGAGGTTATGGTCCAGGGGCGGAGACACACACGTGGGATAGACCTAGACAGGACCCATGTTTGCAGCATGGGCTGTGGGAGCAGCACTGTGACTGAGTGAACAGGCCCTGGGACGTAAGGAGGGCCTGCAGCCATGTGTGACTATTGAAGCATCTGGGACAGCTGCTGTAGTATAGTGCCGTTAGCCACTACTTGGTAATGCCTGTCACGTGCTGGGTCAAGTGCCAGCCACTGTGCTGCCAGGGCAACTTCCCGCTAATATGTGTGGGCAGGCAGTGGGGGATGGCCCAAGGAACTGGGTCTGTGCCACCTGCCTGGGAGACCCAGGAGTCCCTGGCTTCCCCTCGCCCAGACCTTGCTGTTACAGCTGTGAACCAGTAGATTTCAGGCCTCTCTTTACTGTGCTTCTTGTTCCAACTTTCAAATAGATTTTTATTAACTGTCCCATGTTTCTGGCATTTGGGGAGTGAGCCAGTGAAAGGAATGTCTGCTTACCCTTTTGGGCCATTCTGCTTTTCAGATAAATACTCCCTAAATTATTAATTGGAGTCAACATGAAAATTCAGTCGCTGTGCGGGCTTTGTGGTGCAGCACATGAAGAGGCAGCTTTCTTTGCCTGCATCCCATGTCAGAGTGACAGACTGCGTCCCCTGCTGCTGTGTCCCATTCAGTTCCTCCTTAGGCAAAAGGTGGCAGGAATGGAGTGAATACCTAGTGAAAAGACAGTAAAGAGAGCAAATCTCAAGGCTGACAAGAAAAGAAAGAGTACTTCTGGGGGAAAGCAGAAATCCTAAGGGCTATTGGCACGAAAATGGGCTAAATGAAAGGCCTAGTTAGTAACACCAAAGGGTAAAATTTACACAAAGTATCAACTTAAACACAAGAGCATATCTAGCCAGCATTTGTATTTTTTGATAGATTTACTAACCCAGTGTTCAAACCAAGGAAGTGAAGTAAAGGTTCTGGTACATCCTATATAAAACCTGGGATTTTCTCCTAAGGCCCAGCTTCGGCAGTGCATGTCCAAGCAAGCAGAAGTGCTGATTAAAGGGAAGCGGCAGACGGAGGGCACGCTGCATAGCTTGAGGAGACAAGTGGATGCCTTAGGGGAGCTGGTCACCAGCACCTCTGCAGACTCGGCGTCATCACCCAGCCAGTCTCCGCTGTCGGCTTCTCTTGTGGAGGACTCTCATCTGGGACAAAGTAGGGTAAGAAGATGCACTTCACGCTGGGCCGGACGTGTCCCCGGGAAGTGCCAAGAAGCCTTCAGGTTCCCAGTCTAGAGAACAGAGGGCATCCAGTCACCTTCAGCTCCAGACCAGTAGCAGGAGCTGTGCTCGAAGCGCAGGGGAACACTGGGCCAGCTGCTGGAGGGTGGCGGGACGGCTGGGCCAAGATTGGAACTGGAGACAGACTCACTCTGGAGCTCATCTTCTGCAGTCAACATGAAGACCTTAGACCTGGCAGCATATGAATCTTGGTTTTGTCTGTCTCTGTGCCTATTATTCTTCAGCAAAATCTTTGGCTGCAGATTTATCCTTGAGTTTCAGGAAGATATTCTGTGTGCAACTTAAGTAAAGTCAATAGTCATTTTAAAGGAACATGAAATTGACTCGTGGAACTGGCAGACTGTTACTGTGAGGAGACAGGTGACAGTTCATTCTTGAGCACCCACTTTGTGCACGCACTACACTTTCTACCAACGCATTTCATCTGTATGTCCTTGTGACTAGGACAGGGCCTATGTCAGTAAGGAGCAGTATAAAACGTAAAGGATTTGATCAAGGACACAGTACAGGACAAGGCCAAGAGCAGTTGCTGAACCACAAGGAATATTAAGGACACTGCATAATAGTCCCACGGCCAGCAAATGACTTGCTAGGTCACATACTTGAGTAGCAGCCAAGATTTGAATTTCCGTTGACATTTCTGTAGTGGGATTCAAGTCAGGTAAGAGCAAAAACCAGCATGGGCTGCAGGGCAACATTTAAGGAAAAGCCCGAGATGAGATGGGAACTGAAAGTAGACATCCTTTAGAGGTAGGACAGCCTGTGTTGGAGTATGCAATGATCCGTTCAAGTGCGCCATTAACAGGAAGGGGCAGGCATAGCAAGTAGTGGCTGCACTCCACTAGGCTGCAGTCAGGGTGGGCTCCTGATACAATGTCTTCTTTCCAGCTCTGCCAACAAGCTCTGCATGGTCCATCCAAACCATCGGACAGTTACTGACACCGAGGCCATTCCCAGCTTCCTGCTTACAGGTATGTTACAGATTTTGAAGTGCATACTTTCAGCTGGAAGATCACAAATCCTTGCACTTCTTACAAATAACAATTCTGCAGTGCTTCATCTTCAAACATTTTTCCAAAGAAGTTCTTGATACTTTGTTATTAGCCATCACTTCCTCATCTGAAGAATTTGTCCTCCCTTTCTGTTCTGTAGGAGACAGATGACTCCGCGAGGATGAGATGCACTGTCGTTTGCATGGGAAGTCTGAGGAAATACCTTCTCTACTACCTCACCAAGTTCCTAGCTGAAACGTTACTTGACTTTTTTATTGAGATCATGGGAGTGAAGATGCTGAGTTACCACTCTGGTTTTCTGCTTGTACCATTAATGCCAATATTTGTGTGAATTACATGTACATTTGGATTTCACTGTATACATTCTAAACCAGGGTCCTACGGTGTTTTAATTATTAGAATATTTTTATAAAAGCAACACAGATTTTAACTGCATTTCAGTCTAAAAACTAGTGAATCTAGTTATGAACAATGTACCTCAGCCCCTCTTCATGTATACAAAGAGTTATTTTTTGGATTTAGCCTAAAATCTATGTTTCATGTAAAAATAAAAGATATACATTCAACTTAGGTCTATCATCTGAGTTGTCATTTCACCAATCAACCTACAAATAAAGTCATTTTTTACTAAAAATTCAAGAAAATGCCAACCTTTAAAATGTGTCCATGTTTACCTGTGAGATCAAATAAGGAATGGTTATCAACTAATATACCATTTGGAAATATCTGTGATACGCTCAGGCTCACGATTTCCTCAGCCAACCAATTCTTGGTGAAAAATAAAACTCTCTACTCTAATCCAATGAAAATGCAAACTATTTTCAGGTTTTAAATCATTGGTCTATAATTATTGGCATAACACCATGATACATGGTTTTAAAAGCAATAAAAACCTAACAGTTAACATACCCACTTACCCTGTCAGAGTATCCACACTGGGGCCAGTGCCATGACTCAAAAAGGCTAATCCTCCAACCTATGGTGCCAGCATTCCATAGGTGCACCAGTTCGTGTCCCCGGCTGCTCTGCTTCAAATTCAGTTCCTTGCTTGCGCCCAAATCTTTAGACCCCTATACCCACATGGAAGACCTGGAAGAAGTTCCTAATCTGCTCAACTCTGGCCACTGCAGCCAATTGAGGAGGGAACCAGCAAATGGAAGATGTTCTCGGTTTCTCCTTCTGTCAATCTGCCTTTACGAAACTATGAAAACAAAGAGTGTCCATTTTCAATGCCTGTGCCTGGCTCCTCACTCCAGCTTCCTATTAATGTGGACCTAGAGAGGCAGAAGTGATGGCTCAAGTGACTGGATTCCTGCCACCTACATAGGAACATGGACTGAATACCAGCTTCAGCCTGGCCTCATACAGCTCTGCCCATTACCAGCATTTAGGGAGTGAACCAGCAAATGGGTGCTAACACTCAAGACTTTTTATTATTATTTTTATTTGAAGGTACATAAAGTTGATAGAGATGGTGTCCGTCACCCCCCCCCCCCCCCCCGCCAAATGGTTGCAATAGCTGGAGCTCAGAAAATCTGAAGCCAGGAGCAGATTCTGGGTCCCCCATGTGGGTGCAGGGGCTCACGGGCTTGGGCCATCCTCTGCTGCTGCCCCAGACTATAAACAGCTGAACTGTAAGTGGAGTAGCTGGGATGTGAACCAACGCCCATATGGGAGAGACTCAACCTATACCATGGTGCCAGCCCCCACCAATCAAGATTTAAAAAAAAAAGCAAATTCAGTCACAGTTGTATGGATTATCAGTGGGCAAGCATGCAAAAGACTGCCAAAAACTGTTTTCTAGTAGACAGCTTTTGAGTCCTAAAATGTGTTACACCGTGGTGCAATACATAACAGCGCAGTATGTTAGTGTTGGAACGTTGTACTTCTGAAGAGTAAACGGGGAGAACTAGACCATTAAGAAATGGCATAAACATGATTCTTACAAAGGTAGTGACATACAAGTTCTAGAAGACATCTATTTTAAAAAAAAATAGTGGGAAAGCCATGTCTTCTGTGTTTGCATTCTTTTAATTTCTCAAATCTTATCTAAATGCTAAAAACCTTGGCCTATTCACAATTATTGACATCTTTAAGGACAGAATTCTCTGGGCCCATGCTGAATAACACTGAAATATCTCCCCTGTAAACTGTACCATTTATCACTTTACAGTAAACAGAAGCCAAAACCAGGGTCTAACTGAGGTAGAGAAGTTATATGAAGCCAAATATCTGCTTTTAGTAGACATTTTTCCCAAGAAATCTTACTATTTTGAACAAGTGTTACATGTAAAACATCAACAAAAAATAAAAATCAAGATTACCGCAGCAAACACTTTATTATCCATGAAAGATACGTGAACATTGTACTGGAATGTCTAATGCATAAGTAGTACTGAGCACCAATTACCAATGGGAGAGCCTCCCCATAGATGCGAGGACTAACAAGTAACCCAGAGAAGCAGGCAACCTGAACAAGCAGGAAGCTCTGTGGATTAAGAATTAAAATTTTCACATTGTCTCCAAAGTGCACTTGCCCACATCAGGCACATTGATGTTACAATATGACAATCTGCTCCTCCATTTTATGAGCACCCAAGTTTACACATGCACAAAATGAATTTGGCCTCAAGTACAGTCAAGGGAGATCACCACCAGACACCGCATGTGCTGATCTTGCACCGGACAAGGAACACACCACGAGGACTGATGCAAACACAAAGATCAAACTGGCTCAGCTACTCGGTGGGGTGGCTCTGTGTGCTACATACGTATACGTCTACACACCAGTCAGGACAGCTCTACAATCGAAACTGCAACTTACACCAAATAACTAACCAGAAAAAAATAAATCCTATTATAGTTCAGAAAATAATGCAACCAAATTTAATTTAATCTAGATACAGGTACTTTATTTACAAATATTTAGATTAATAGCATTTTGTTACATCAAATGAAGAGTACAGCAGTCTGAATAATTCCTTCTGTCACAAAAAACAAGACCCACTGTAACTAACTTTGGGAAGCTGGATATTGCACCTGAACAAGCAGAAGTCTGTCCCCTGTGATCGCTACCTCATATCCCCTAACGAGGCGGGTTGTTGGTTTTGCTTTTGTAAATACATACTCGCTAGTAGGTCATGGTCCCTGGGAGAATCCCTTGTGATCCAACAGTGTAAGCGAAGTGGGGCATAGAAAGTCTTTAACAGAATGTACCAATCTATACTACAGGAATCTTACTTTGAAAATTAAACAAAGATAGAAATAAAAATGAATCCACAAATTAACCAAACCCTATTTTCTGCACATTCCAGTTTGGGTTTTATTTAACAATGACTATACAAGACTCTGGTACTATCACATGTTTACAACCCGGAAAGATGTACGCTAGTGTCTGTCAAGAGGGATTTAAAATGTGTATTTTAAACACAGTAGGTGAGCTGAGTGCATTTTATATAATATGCAGAGGTTTACCTATTCTGCTTCAAATAACTTCTCAATTACCAGCCACTGAACCATAAACTCAACTAGAATCTAGCAACTAGAGGTGAAGAGCTCAGTAAACCATATTTGTTGTCTAAAAAATTAAGATTGTTTCTCTTGCCATACAGGATTCTTTTCAGTGGCCAGGCTGACTAGTGCAAAGTAACAAGGTACACTCTGCATCAGCACAAACACTGAAACACCATCAGAAACACCTGCCCTTTCACAAAACAATTTATGCCAACATGTCATACATTAGCCCCTCATACTAAGAACACAAGGGATATCTTAAATTAGTTCACTGTAGTGTTAAAAATGCACAATTAAAATCCCTTAACAGCAGATTTGTGGTTCTGCCTGTCCGGTTCAGAATCTGACCATCCCAAGAAGAGAAAAGATATAAAAGCTTAAAATGTGCAATAATAAACCCAGCCTTTTTTCTTTTTCTATACAGTAAGGCAAGAATGCAGCCTGTAATGCAAAATGTTTACAAAAAGAGAAAAGCAGGTTAGCACATTGTCAATTGCACAAGAATAGTTAAGAAAATCAGCAGGTAAGCCACAGTGCAGAGATGGAACAGAGTTGGCTAGTGTTCATCCCTTGATGCTGGGAGCTCTTTCCAGCACAATGTCCCCAACACGGCCAGCACCAAGGGGTGGAGCCAGTATCACCTGGGAACTGCAGTCATGTCTACTCTGATGTGAAATGGAGGGAGAAACATGGTCACATGTAGGTCATACTGTACAAACTGGTATTTTATACTGTTGCAATGCCAGTAATCAATTTATTTTCTTCATTAAAATAATATACAAAGAATGTATTGTTAGTTCGGTTCCTTCAAATTTTATACATATTTACTTTCTGTTAAAAAGAAAGGATAAAATAATGTAAAAAAAAAAAAATAAAGCTATTAATTAAGCACAAAAGATAAACGGATATGTTTCCCCGTGCAAGGCTAAGACAGAAGCAAACCTTGTCAAGAAAAATGCCACCCACAACAGGGAATTTGTCCAACAAAAATGCAGTTCTAGAACCCCGTTCTCTACCATCAGAAGTCATTTCACAGCAATAAACTTGTATGTTACACCAAACATACTTGAACAGTTAAAAGATGTGGAAAGGCATAAGATACCAAATTAAACCATACGAATGAAGCCTTGCCAGAAAGGGAGGGTAAAAATCATGAAGTCCAGCATCAGTGCTCAGTTTAAATCATATACTGGTGACAGAGCTATCACAAGGACAATCAAGGGGAAAAAAGTCTAGATTTACCATGCAGGAGAGATTTATTACTCTACTTGCCTTTGATAACCTGATTACATCTAGTTGTTTAGCAGTTTAGTATTGTGTTAAACTGTTTTTACAACAGAGTTTTGTTTTTAATTAAACCCAGTAAGATGTACAGAAGACAAGGACGCAGTAAAAAGCACTGCTTCCAACAGACAGAGGTGAAAGGTCAAATGCGGGGCCGGAGCCGAGAGGTCACTAGCAGCCACAGCCTTCTCTCTGGGGCTGGGGCTCACTGGTTAGCCGGCCTCCCTGAGGCGCGGACGGTTTGTGCTGCACCCCAGACTCGGCGGCATTCAGATCCAGGCTTCCATCCTGAATGTTCTGGTAGATTTTCTTGGCAGCCTCAAGGAAAGCATCTTCTACATTTTCTCCCCTAAGAGGCAAGTGACAACTTTATTCAAGAACCACCACTTTCTACTGAATTAAGACATTATACACTGATGTTTTTTGCTAACCTTTATTCAAGTGTCATGGTGACTTCAACTTAGCCACTGTCATCTAATGAGAGGACTGAGCTAAGACAACATGGGAATGTATTCTATGGAAAGCGTGTAAACATTGTTCTAAGAGCTATCTGTACAAACCCCTATCTATTAGATGTGCTCCAATCACTAAAACAACAACTAAAATTGTTAATAAATTACATGACAGTTAAGATAGGCCATTTCTGTAGCAGAGACTCCAAGAGATATGAAATCTCAAACATGCTGAACAGCATTCTAAGATTTGATTGGTACGATCAGCCAAACATGAACTGTGTTGTCTCATGTGATGGTGACATATTTGTGCTAAT